AGATATGTGTATATTTGGCCGTCATACACATTTTCCAATAAAGCATGCTTTGCCTCATATTCATTTTGAACGTAACTCAAGAATGTATCAGTGAATGTGCTAGAACTCTTCAGAGTGGAGCTTCTCTCCGTGTGTCTCTGCCACTGGGACTTTAATATAAAGTGACTTCACTCTCGTGGTGTCTGTTTCCAAAGTATTTCTTCTGTCTGTCCCTCCCTTTCTCCAAAGAGCTGTATCAGAAATCCATTCGTTTTCAGGATATATATTTCACACTTCCCCGTCTGTCACTGTTGAGAAAAAAATAGTGGTGGTTGCTAAAACGATCTGGCCTAAATATTCTTTTAGAGCACCAAAATCATATGCAGATTTTATTTTATTTTAAACTTTATTGTAGTTGACTTAAAAACAAGATACTTAGAAATGTGTGGTTGCTCTTTGTAGGATTTCATACTAATATTTTTAACTGCTAAATTCAAACTGTAGTGGGAAGCTATATTCCCCTTTCTGCCTTCCCAGTGAACCATTGGAAATGGTCATTTTTAAATTGGTATTTGCTTTTGTTTTTTTTTCCCCAAAGCCAGCTCTTTGTTGGCAGATGAATGTGTAATGTTTGAGAAGGCTGCAAAGTGAATAAAAAGAAAATCTATAAAAAATGACGTGTGTGTGTGTGTAGACTGAGAAGCAGGAATGAGGAGAGCTTTAGGGAAATGAATTTGCAGGCTCTGCTTCTGAAATATTCTCATAATAAGAACCTGGTTTTTGTCATAAAATGACAGATCTTAAACACTTAACATCTAGTCCCAACCGAAGACCGATTTAAATGAAGTTCTGCTGGTTGTTCTGTAGGACCAAGAGTTTAAATAACAACCCTCCACGTCATACTGCGACATGAAAAGGTAGGGGAATAGTGCGGGGCTGTAGGGCTGGCACAGGGCAGGGCAGGGCCGGATGGATGCTTAGCACGCAGTGAATCGTGAGCTCCGCCTCACACAGTCATCGTCACGAGGCCAGTCCAGGGGCCCCTCAGCAGCATGACAGCAATGAAATGTTATTTTTAATGTTTATTAAATTCCCCCCGAGACGTTATTGGGCGTTCATTGCCACCAGCATCGCAGGTTGGGAATCTGTGGCATCAGGACAGCAGTCATTTGTAACAAAAATGACCTGAGCCTGTAGCCCCACTGGAAGCAATAGCCCAGTAATTCACAAATCCAGAGGTCACGGTCGGACGCTTGGCTCTTCCAGGTGCCATTTACGTTTTGTTAAGTTTTACCTTGAAAATGTTCCCCTCGTTCCAGTTTGTGCCTGTTTTTTGTTTTGTTGCTCTTGTTTCCTTTTGGAAAAAGAAAGTGTGTGGTGATTTACTTCCTTGCTCTCCTGATTCCATCTGGAGCATCCCGAATGTTGCTGTGGGCAGAGAGGGACTTAGCAGTTGGCAAGTGCTGCCTCTGGAAAGGGCTCCACCTCTTCTGAGGTTGCTGGGGTCCCAGTAATGGTAGCCGGCCCAACCCCGTGAGCTTTTTGTCCTGGGCCACAGAAATCCTCTTCTACTAGCAACACAGTGAGAAGTCAGAGAGGCGGCCATGTTATGTTTCCATCCACAAAACAAGTTGTCTCAATTTACAAAATTCAGCAGAGTGCACTGAAAGCTCTTTTTTAGTGTTAAGCCCATCTCGCTTGTTCAAAATTACCAATAGTCTTGGCAGTGGTTTCCAAAGCACTAATGAATAGGATCTCTTCTGCGATGATGAAAACCTGGCTGTCTCCCACATTTAGACAGGTGTCCAGGTACGGTACTCATGGCCACATGCCCTGCATTCCTGGGAAGGCATACTTCCCTCTCTGCTGCTTCCCTCCTTGAATACCCAAGAGGCTTGCAGCACACAGGATAAACTCTTTCCTGGATGCAAGTGTCCAGGGCGCTGTTCTGTTCACTTCCACCACCTCTAACTCTCCCTGTGTCCCCCTTGCTGAAGTGCACACTCCAGAAAGCTCAGAGAAAGGCGTCATTCTGATTTGTCAACTTTCTGCAACTAAAGATGAGTATGGTAGACAAATAGAAAGGGATACAAGTAGGCCATTCTACTTTGTCTCGTCGTGTCTTAGCAGTGTTAGAGGGCCCTTGGAGAGAGAGGTGTAGTATACTGGACTGGAGCAGGCTTGGGGAATTGTTATGCTATTTACGCCACTTACTAGCTGTGTGTCTTTAGGCAAGCTATTTAATCTCTCTGATCCTTATTTTCTTTCTTTGTATGTGAGCATAATTCTCCCAACCTTCCTCCAGAAATTTAAAATATTCAGTGTGTAAAGTGCCTAGAAATCGTGCTAGGCATATTTGTAAGTACTTGGTAAGTTGTTAGTGTTATTACCATTATCAGTCCCTCCATGTTCCTATGGAAAAATTGAGGCCCAGAGAGCCAAAGTGATTTGCTCCCAGATCTCAGTGACAGTGGCAAGTGTGGCTAGTGACAGAGTGAAGACCCCTGGCTTTTTAACCAGACTTTTAAAACAATAGGCGTGATTTAATTGAGGACCATTGTGACCAGCCACTGACATCCAACACACAGACCTTTAAATCTTTAATTTTTTGTTATTTTAAGGGTATTTTTTAAGATCTCTATAACGTGTGTCTTCATCGTCTTATGGTGATTGATGATGGACAGTGCAGACTTGGGGGAGAAATCATAGATTAGGGTTTGATGAGACCTTAGAGGTTACTTCATTTAACATCTGCCTGGTGGGTTTTATATTCTGATTCTCTTTTCCACCTTAGTTATAAACAAGTATGCTTGAGGAACTGTTAGTTTCATACACGTTAGTTACACCGCAAGTGAAAATGAATTTGGTGGAAGCTTGAGAAGGTCGCCATCTTTCATAATGCCTGTTTACAATGATAAAAGTGTTCTCTTTCAATTCATTCATTTAAGAAATATTTTTTAGTAGTGTCATGTGCTCAGTTGCTCCTCTCAGGAGGCATACACTCCTAGAAGAGTCAAGACATGCTCATAAATTGTTTTAATATACAAAAGAAAGTGCAGAGCTTGCAAGTGGGGGAATAAGGACGGCCTTCACAGAGAAGGTAGCCTAGAAACTGGATCTTGAAGGACAGGTCAGAGCTGGTTGAGACTTGGAAGCAATCATTGACTTGGAAGTTGTCTCCAGAAGACGAAGCGTCTTCAAAAGTTACGGATGCTCTTCACGTGACTTATCTGCAGGCACCGTTGTTTTCTTTTGGAACAGTTACATCAGAGCTAAATTGTCTTTTGTTTGAATGAAAACACCTCAGCAGGGACCCTAACCCATATTTGAGTTAATGCCAACAATCTACATGCTGATGTGAAGACCCGAATCATATAGGGATATGTTTTTATAGCTGCTGGGCAATGTATTTATAGGTATTTGACGACCTGGAGGTTAATCAGAAGCCATTGGATGATCTCAGATCCATTCTTAATGAACTGCAGTGGGTATTCTAATACTGATTCAGCAGTCTTAGAATTCAAGGCTAAATAACCCTCCTTTCTCCAGAGCCGCACTCACACCGGTACTCTTTCAGCCTTCTAGAATGTTCTTTCCAAGCCATCATCAAGTGTTAGTTTGTACAGAATTTCCCTGAATGGTTTGTATAATGTTTAAAAGAAGTAAAACCACTCAAACATTTGATAGATACTTTGAATTTTCAAATAGACCATGTTTGAACTTTTTCTGTAAGGCAGAAAGTTGAATCCAATGAAAATAGCAACACAGAAAGAATAGTATATATATTTTTAGAGACTTATGTTAATGTTTTAAAGAGCCTCTTTAAAATTTTTTTACTACTTTAATACTTTAAGAGCCACCAAATGACAGTTTAATGGAGGCGGAGGGGGTTATAATCATAATTAATCATAATTAATTTGGAACAAAGAAGTAAAGTGTCTGGATTTTTACCAACCCCCACCCATTAGCTTTACTCCTAAATGTAAACATTAATGGCAAAAACTTTGAAAAGTTTTTTAAAGGGATACTATTTACATTAAAAAAGCTTGACTACCATGGTGGAGTCTTTTAAAGATTTTGCCACATTGCCATCATCTTTCTTTTTGCATTAATTTTCCTGGGAGAATTAAACCACTGTGCTGTTTAGATCTCTCCCCAGTCTCATTACCAGCAGTTAGAAAAATGACATTGTGTGACAGTTGTCTCCTTCAGATCAAAGAATACCCTTTTCCTCTTTCAAGAGAAGTTTGTCATTCACAGGGCAGAGACACAAAACTAAGTCACCAAAAAGATGAGTTCCTGATTCTGCATGGCATTGGGGAAGAGGTGACAGGGCCTATGAAAGACACTCACAGCCAGTCAGTTTAGGCTCCCTCCTGGCACAGAAAATCCTACAAACAGAAGTGGAAGTCCAATGTTTACTGTGTAATTTTAGTATAGGGAAATTGGTGTGTTTTTAATAGTACCTAATTTCAGAATGTTAAAATACAGGGTTGAAGGGAGTTTGGGAAATGCTTTCTTCCATATTTATTATATCAGAAAATTTAGGTCAAAGAAAAAAAATTTTTTTTAAATAACATTCTCACACTGCCCCTTTGTTTTTCATTTCTGGACTTCTATTTTTTGATTCGAGGATACTAGGTAATGTTAATTGAGAGTCAGATCTTTTTAAGCATTAGAAGTTAATTTTGCTTGCTTTTGTAATTCCTGTTCTTATTTCAAGTTCCCCCTTTCTTGCTATATTTCTCTATATAAATTATAACCTGGAACACTTGACATGATTAGAAACATGTAATTTATTTGTGGAATTTATATTATTTGGAATTTTTACATAATGAATGAAATAATTGCCTAGCAATAGAGTTCAGCCTCTCTCTCCAGGAAATAAATTATTTTAAGCAAACATGAAAACTAACAGCCCCACCCCTTGCATCAATGCATTATTAGAAATGACTTCCAGGATAAACGGCTGGTAAGATGCACGGTCAGTGTATGTATGCATGTGCTTTCTCTTCATATAGGCAAGGAAGTTTTCCTGGCGTGAATCAAAGTGGACTTATGGCTTCCAGCTCTCCCTACAGCCAGCCCATGAACAACAGCTCTGGGCTCATGAACACCCAGGCGCCCCCCTACAGCATGACGCCTAATATGGTGAACAGCTCAACAGGTAACGTGGCAGCCCCGTGCTCCCGAGGGCTGCCCTCCCTTGTCCCTCTTCTCCTCTTAGGCTTGCACCACTGAAAGTCCGGAAAGACCTCGAGCCATCGGATCATTTGGTGAAAAGGGGAAAAATACTTCTCTTCTGCTGCTTGGAAACTCGCTCAATCTATTTAACTATTTTAAGACTTGAGGATCACATTACATTTTATGTAAATTATTTTTATTCCTTCTGTGTTTGTATAATATGTGGACATATTTCAAGTGTCATTGAGAATGCTTGCTAAATACACACACTAAGTTCTTTTTATCTTTGGGCATTATTAGGAGTGTTGGAAGAGCCCATGACAAAATCTGTACTCTCCATGTCATAGTGGTGGAGATAAACAATTAAAATTCGTATTTCAGAAGAAGCGATTGAAGGGAAGGGCAGAACAAGACAGGGTTTGAAGTCCTTTTTTTATTTAGGGAAACTCACCTTTAAGTATATGCATGGAAATAGTTGTCCCATAAGAGTTGTTTGCAGATTGTCTCTATTGAGAAATTATATATTATTTTTTTTTAAAGAACTGTGTTAAATTTTTCATTATGCTTAATTTTTTCAACCCACTTTATGATCTCAACCATTGCATTCTTACCAAACCCCATCTGATTAGTGCAGTAAGGGTATTGTGTCAAGTCTGTGGAAATACCAAGAGTGTCTACAGCTGTGCACATCTTCCCTGTTCTCAGGCCCTGGACCACCTCCTCCAGCCACCACACTACCTAGCAATGATGAGTGCCACCCTTTACATGAGGAAACGCTGTGTGTTTCAATTGACCTGTTACTCTCTAGTGCCTGTTAGAGTTATCTAGTGTAGATACCATTTGGGGTAGGATTCTCTCATTTAGTTAAAGCAGAGCTTTGCGTAACCAGTTGTGTGTCCTGCACCACTTTATGATGTGTTAGGAAAACATCGTGGAGTTAGAGGCTTAAGCTCCCTCTTCTTATCTCTTTTCATTTCCTCTGCCTTCCTGACCTCGCCATCTTTGAAAGGCTGCCCCCCGAGCTGTTGTTTCTTTGTCAGGCAGAACAGACAGCGAGAGGCTGGGCTTGCGTCCTCTCTGAGCTTCTGAGTTGTTGGTTTCTAGGGCCTGATTGAATAGTGCCATTCCTTGGTTACTTCTCTTTAAAGATTCGTGGAAGAGGGAAAAACAGAACCGACTGGTGAAAATAAATAAAATAGCCCTTCCTGATGTTAAGCAGGCAGTCATTCATCCCAGTGAGGCAGATGTTTTTACATTTGAGATGAAAAGTGAAAAGCTCTTGAACAGTCTGTTAGCTAGAAGTTTCCCCTTCCCTTCCCAGCTCTGTCCCACGTAATGGTGTATTTGGGTTGTGACATTGTGTTTTGTCTGGCTGGCTGAAATAAAATGACTTCAGAGCATTGAAACGACACAATAAATTTTCACCTACTATTAGCAGTACTCATTTTTCCCTTTTTCCTTTGGACCCCGGAGCCACAAAAATAACCAACAACAAATAGACGGCACCAGGCCCTGCCTAAGAAGATTTATGTATTCCTAAGGAGTAACCAATTTAATGGAGATTCACAGAGAGGGTTTCTTTTTATGACTATTATTCAGATAATTCAGCTATTCATTATTTCATACAGAGGAAATCTGTTCAAGGAAGGGCCATTTATCCTCACAGTCTTTTGTATGGGCTAGTAGTGTATTTTTTTATTGCATTATGCATTTTAAAATATTGAATTTTTAATAATTTAATCATTTATCAAATTTTCCTCTACATACTTAGAAGATTTTATTTTAGCTTTATTAAGTCAAATGCTACCTGATAGAAAGTAATCAGCCGGCACATCCAAGGCATATTGACAATGGCGTGTTGACTGTGTATCTATTGATAGGTACATGTGAATCTGCTCTGTCTTAGAATCTCTGAGGGAAACAGGAATGACAAAGGAACCCAAAACGTTCCACTGTAGCTCCTGATGAGAGTTTTGGGCTGAAGGTGTACACTTGACTTTTCTAGAGATGGGCCAGAAATGGCTTGGACCATCATCTCGTCAGTCTACTTGGTTTGGGCCCATGGAGATGAATTATCAGTGATAACAGCAAAGCATTTTCTCCATCAAAGGACACTTTGGCGAAAGTGAAGATAATACAAATGATAGCCAGGGCTGGCAGTGGGATTTTCTGAACCTCAGTTAGCAGCTTATGCAACTGGCATTCCAGCATCCTCTTTGCTGAGTTCAAACAGTTGTGCTGTAGATGGTGCACAGGGCCAAAAGAAGTCATCCTGTGTAGTGACAAATTGTTACAGGCTTCAGTGAGCGAGTAATTATTTAAATGGAGTCAGTGTGAGTATGAATGTGACAACTATTTCTTCACTTAAAATGCAGGGGATGTGGGATGGGAAGCAGTGGGGATTTTTTTCTCTCTAAAGGAGCTTTTTTTTTAATTATTTGGATTAAAAGATTAGAATTATATATTACTATGGCAAAATTATGTCGTGTATAACCTTGTTAAATACACCCTTATATAATACTTGTGTTGTTAGTTACATTGTACTTCTTTGTTTCATAATATTCATTAGTCATATACTTGTCTGCATATAAACCATCATCTTAAAGATGTCTAAATTCCAGAAAATATATCTACTGTCTGTGGTTCTAAGTCACTCTACAAAGCGTAGGGCATTTCCATCGGTATAACCCACAGATAGTAAATGAGCAGTCATACTCCGCTGTAGCCAGGCCTTCCTCCCATGCAGAGCCCTGTCAAATTCCAGTGGTGTGAATCTTTCTGCCGCCCCAGCACTGCTCCGTCCAAAGGCAGGGTTCTATTAATGTCCTACCAGTAGGAGGCATACTAGCTCCAATAGCTCTTACGAAGAAAAAAAGGCAGTCACACGACTCAGTATCCACGCCTTCCTTCGGTGTTCTCAAGACTTGAGAACCACCTCTCAGAGTCGCCTGGAATGCTTGTTAAAACTACAGATTCCTGGGCCCCCATCATAGTTTCTGAGGGTGGGTCCAGGAATCTGCATTCCTAACAGACTCCTCGGGTAATTTTTATCTGTGCATGCTAACGCTTGAGAACCACCGATTTAGGGGTATTTTGTTCAACAGTCTCCTGGCAGAACCACTGCCAGCTTTGTGTGGCATTAGCTGTTTACCAGATCATTTGCTGTTCTGAAATTGAAAAAAAAAAAAAAGATTTACGGAACTATGCCTAGAATATAAATCTACCAGATGGATAGCCGTTTTCCATCTTGAGACTTGAGGGTCTTGCGCAAAGGAAGTTCTGGGTCTTTAGCACCATTGCTAGTGGTTGTCTCAGTAGTTTATAAAGATTGTTAGGTTTTTGTTTGCTCATTGCTTTAAGTTAATGATTTTGGGTGAATTGCTGCCCTCCTCTGCCGCCCAAAATACAAAAGACTTGATAAATTAGGAAAATCATGTCAAACTGGGAAAAATGTATAGAGATTACGCCAGGTACATTGGTAGCTCCAGGCTTGGTATGTAGCTGGGGCTTTCTCGGAAGCATCAGTCCAGTTAGCAGGAGAGATTGGCTGCTTTCCTTGAAGCAGTGATGCATAGCAAGTGTACTGGTTTGCTCGGCTGGCATGTTTCCTTGGGATGGAAATTATGGGGTCATGCATCTCACTCCCACTGCCCCTGTGGAGGTACATCAGCAGAGGGAAGTGACGGGAGATTCTTTCAAGGCCTTGCTGATCCAGTCCAAGAGAAGTGTTTCTCCTGAGCGTTTCTCATAAACTGTCTGAGTTATGTTAACGGGGTTCTTTATATATTTGCCACATATAAAAATAGTCATGAATATCTACAGATGTATACACATGGATAGGCCCTTTTGTGTTTTCAAAAAACAAGGAATAAAATATTTTGCAGAGTATGGTGTATTATTTACCATGAAAAGAAAAGAACTGTTTGTGTGTTTCTGGTCCTATTTTACCATCTTCTGGGAACGATTTGGCAGCCTTGTAGGGAGACTAAGTGAAGGAAGCTGGGGGAGTAGGAATGAATGGTTAAGTTCAGTTTCACTCACCCCATATGTTCTTTATGTTCTTTCTGAATATATGAAATCCAGGGTGGAATAGCTGCTTTAGGACTTTGACCCACACTTACTTGAGGCAGTCATTCTAGCTCTTAAATTTCAATGGTGAAGCCAGAGGCTGGTGTTGGAAATGTATTTACAGTCCCCACTGCAGTCGCAGGTTCTTCATTGCCCCTTTTTATGTCTGAACTTTACATACTGGATTACTGATGTCAGTAGGAGAAGGAACAGTGCTTGATTTAACACATCCTTATAATAGTGGTGGTCTTCCTCTTCTGGGAAAGGAGAAAAAAATAGTGCCCCTGGAGTACCATTGCCCTGGGAGGCGTATGGCTCTTTGCAGTGATTCATTGAGAATTCTGGTAAGAAGTCAAAAATAAGCATTTCAACAAAAGCAGTAGTAAAAGCCACAATAAGGAAAGACCTTATGATCCATTTAGTAAAATAAAATGTACATGCTAAGGCAGGAGTACTAAATAAAACTACTACTCTAAACCCCATCCTTATTTATCTCTCAAAATAATAAAGCAATGCAACTTTTGACAGTTTTTATATTTGTATACCCCAAATGCCCATTTTAAAGTACTTAATAGAGAGTGAAGAAGTTTGGTGAATTTCAAACCAACAGATATGCTTATATTCATCTAAGTCTGATTTTTAAATCAGTGTAAATTGTTATCGTTAATTATCATAATACACATTGGCCTAGTTCTTTATGCTTAAAAATTGCTTTTGTGTACATTAACACATTTAATGAATGAAGAAGGATATTATTTCCTATTTTTCAAAAATAATATATAGGCATAATTTATTGTAAAGACTGACAACAATGTTCATCATCACCTTTGGAGAAGCGGGACTTGACAGAAGCCCTATGTCCATTACTTTGCCCCTTTCTCTGGTATCATGTGGTCTTCATTCCTTTGAACCCACTCTGCAAATAACTAGCAAGGACATGGGGACTTTCATAAATAAGCCCCTCTTTCCACACTCACCTTACTTTTTTTGCCTTCTATTCTTCTAAAAAGGGTGTTTCTTAATGTACAGATTTACTAATTCGTATCTTGCTAGACGCGCGAGAGAAAACCGCAGGAAAGCAATCCACCGCTTTGAACCAGGCGGTCTTCTTGGTGTAATCTCTCTCAGCTGCTTTCCTGAGGTTTCACACGTTCACAAAAATAACAGCATTTTTAGCTGATCCCAATAGATTTTTCTCTGCAGCTGCATCACTTGAAAAAGCTTTTTGTTCCAGTTCTTAAAGTCTAAGTATTGAAAGTAATTTGGAAAAAAGAAAAACATCCCAATTATGATTTGTGTGTGTGGCGATGACTTCAAGGGCTGATGGGGCTGCAAATGGGCTTTGAAAAACAAGCCAATAAGCCCGTGGAAAATACAGGCGTTTCAGAGTGCACCATTGAGCGCGCTGGTGTAAACTCACGGGCACGTGGCGGGGTGGGCTCTTCTCGCAGGACCTCTGGTCTCAACCTGCAGTGATGCTAACGATATTAGCAAATTAGCACCACAACGCTTGCCAGCTAATTCGCCAGAGCCCTGCTCACTCTCTCACTGCTGTAATTAAAACTAATTATTTTCTAAAACATAGTAATACATGAATATGTGCAATAATCATTTTGTAGTGGGCAATCTGTAGAGCCTTTTTTAAAGCTTCTTTTTTTTTTTTGGCACGTGTGCACTGCCTGGGTTGAGCCAGCACTTTGTTTTGCAGAATATAAAATGGATCCTGTTCCTAAAACCTCAGGTTTATTTTGAAATAGGAATGTTTTCCAGGTTTCACTCATTTATAAGGCTCATCCTTCTCTCTCCTCTCCCTTTTCTCTTCCATCTCTCCTCACTGAGTCCTCGCACATCTGTGTGGTGTCGCGCTCACAGCCCAGTGTTGTGCAGATGGTTTTCACAGTGGGGTTCTGTCGAAATTCAGCTGTTATTCCCTGGATAGCTACACGAATTCCCTACTGTAGCCTTGTTCTTCCTTTAAAAAAAAAAATCTAAACCATATTTTTAACTTGAAAACTTCTGTTAGTATTTGCAATAAATGTGTACAAATCCGTTGTTCTTTGGTGAAGAACATTCTTTCATTCTAAAGCCTGGATGATCGTGATTGAATTTCTGAGCCGAGAGAGAGAAAATGAGTTTTGCCTGGGATTGTAGGGTTGACTCTTGAGCTGGTGTGGGTGTCTGACCTGGGCATTTGAGCGGCTGCTGAAGATTGATAAATGTACACACTGCCCCAGACTGAAGGGAAACCAGCCCCATTGCAAAAGAATTAGAAATCCTTTCTTTCAAAAATTACTTTTGATTATTGTTTTTGAAGTCATCTGATATGATTGTCTTTTGTTATTGTACACTAGGCCACAGGCAATAGATAAGATTTTCAAATGAAACAATGGAAAATGTCAGATGGTTTTGCAAACCGTAGATTATGTGAATTTAGGAAATTAAGAAAGCACTAAATCCTCTAGTCACCAGGTAAAAAATATACACATCCAGCCTTTGCTTTCAACACCTGGTGAGCAATTTAAACATTGGGCTTATTTCCACTTGTCACCTACTCTATTAAAGCTGTAATAATTTTGAAAAAATAGTATTGCTATAAGTTGACTTTCAGTGGTTTGGGTCTTGAGTAAAATGATTGCCTTTTTCGTTTTTTTTTTTTTTAAAGATAAAAAAGGATTGCCAGAATGTCAGGCTATTTAGATTCCAGAAATTAGTACGCTCTGAGTTACGATTTCTTTTTCCCTGTTTCTTCTCTTCCTTCAAGGAAAATTCAGGTGCCCCATGCATCTCTCAGTAACTTGTGTTAGCAGGAGCACAGCCTGAGAATCATATGTATAATCCTAAACTCTTTCTCCTATTTTCGCTTAGCATCTATGGGTCTTGCAGATATGATGTCTCCTGGTGAATCCAAATTGCCCATGCCTCTCAAAGCAGATGGTAAAGAAGAAGGCACTCCGCAGCCTGAGAGCAAGTCGAAGGTATTTCCTTTCTCCTCTGCACGCGGTGTGGGGTCTGCCTCGCTGAAGCTGCCATGTTGTTCTCTCTTCACTGGTGTTGGCCTACACTTTTTTTTTTCCTTTGGTTTCTTCCCTTCTGCATGCCTTCATTTTGTGCAACATGTCCGTAGTCTTCTTTTCTTTCCCCACCCCCTTCATGGTGTGGATCTGAAAGTTACTAGTTCTTACGGCATTTAACTCATGGTTGTGGGAGAGGGGTGGAGGGACGAGACCCACCTTCGAGAAATGCTTTGGGGGTGGGGAGAAGTAAGGGACCTTGCCTGGTTTTGATCCTTGCAGCCATTTTCTCTGCCTTCAGTTTATAGCTTCCTGTTTTGGCCACCTCAGCAACAACAACATACTTAATATTTTGCTTTCCTGCCTTATTTGATAAATAAGGTGAACAGCTTTTTTTTTTCCTTTCTTTCTCTCATAAGGGGTAACCCATGCTTAGCATTCCATGTAAGCTTGACATAAGCATGGTGCCTTAGTGGCCTTATCCAGCATCCAGCAAACTTACCAAATTATACTAATTAAGAATGTTGTTTTAATACCTTTATATGTGTGTTTTTGTGTGTGTGTTTGTACATGTCTTTATATATATCTATTATATATAAAAATTAGTCTGTTAAACTGGATGTGCTTTTTGTTATTTTAAATAAAGTTTGCCCTACCTTTGTCATTTTTTTTTTTTTTTTTATTCCTCTACCACAGGATAGCTACAGCTCTCAGGGTATTTCTCAGCCCCCAACCCCCGGCAACCTGCCAGTCCCTTCCCCAATGTCCCCCAGCTCTGCTAGCATCTCCTCCTTTCATGGAGATGAGAGTGATAGCATTAGCAGCCCAGGCTGGCCAAAGACTCCATCAAGCCCTGTAAGTGGCTCTGGTTTTTTGTTTTTTTGGTTTTTTGGGGTTTTTTAATAATGAATGAATTCTACTTGAATGCTTGCTTATTTATTTGTTTTATAAGACTTTTTCTTCATAATTGATCCATGAAAGGGTTTTCTTTATAATTATGTTAGTAACAAAATGAGTAAAGTTTGTGTGCATCATAGAAGTTGATTTCTGGTAATGAAACCGCTGTTATAAGAAGCATCTCTTATACGAAGCATGCGATGGTGATACTGGGTCCAAACTCCTTTACACAGTGGCTTTGCTTAAATGTCTAATCCATTGTGCACTTATAGAAGATCTTTCAAACGAGTTACTTCTCCATTTATATGGGAACTAATAGCAGCCATGGACTAAATGACAAGTTTGGCTTTTGGCCTAAATCTTTCACGGGCTGTTGTATCTGAAACATCTTATTTCAAAACTGCCCACCTGAAAATATAAATATTACACTCTGGGCACAGTTTCGCCTAATATCAGCCTGCTTTGTTTCAATCCACTTGTCAAAAATTAACAGAAAAGTTGTAGAAATGTTAGTGCATGTGAATATTTGGAATGCTGCTTTTAGATTAATAATGTGTGCCTTCATAAGCATCAGTTGAGATAGAAAAATTATATGCACAAGACTGCTGATAATCTTGAAATTGTGTTGATTTCCATGTAATATATAAAAACAAATATGGTAATGTACATATAAGGGAATTGTTTTTAGCCTTAATGTTCTTCTGTCCGTAGAGCTAGGCCTTTATTTTCCTGCTAAAGAAATTAATTCTGTGCCGTTAAAAAAAAAAAAAGAAGAATGGCGCTGTAGTAACCTTTATTTTACATTCATATAGGGAATCAAAAGATCTTAAAAAAAAAAAAAAAAAAAACCTTACCATGCAATTACTTGCCAAGAAGGCTTAATTAACACGCTAATTTTTGTAAGACGATGTATTGAAGAGCACAGCTCAGGAAAAACATGTTGAAGGGAAGAAGATTCTAACTGCAGAATCTGGCAATCTAGTCAAAACCCCAAAAGAAGGCTGCTATTAATTATCATTCGCTGGTTTAAACAGATAGAGCTGAAGGTTTGAAGAGTTGGTGGTTCCAGTAAATGTTTGTAAGATTCATGTGGAGCTCTAAGATAACCAGCATTTTCCTTTTCAAGGAAGAAAGGTCGATATTCGCTGTTACCTTCTGTGTAGACATATGTTTCACTTTTTCAACAACCAAGATGAAATGAAAAATGCTCCTAGGATGGGTTAAGCAGAACTAGCAGGAAGGGAGAGTGCAACTCCTTAATTTTGATATCTTTGTCTTATTTGCTTTGAGTCTCAGAAGGCAGCCAACATCGTGGGGGGTTTCCCCATAATCTACCCTGGTGTTTTGTTTGGTTTTGTTTTAATCATAAGAAAAGCATTTCTGAATCACTAATACTCTCAAAGTTAGCAGGTAGAACTCAAATTATAACTTTTCAAAAACGTTTGTATATTGGCTCAGAGGGAAAATTTTCAGAGGTTGAAAATATTAAATCTTTAAAACCTTAAGCTGAGAATAATAATTTATTAAAAACAAAGACTACTAATAGACCATATTGTATGTTTTAAAATTCCACCTTGCTGATTTTTGAATTATAAAGAATGGTTGGGATATTTATTGTTTTAACTTACTCGTCACATTATCTCCATCCAGTGAGTCCTGTATCAAAACCTATTTGATAATAGTCCTATTATCAAAACCTCCCTTTCTACTTAAATATAAGAAAAAAGCAAACTGAATTGTTGACTTCATTTTCTGATTATAACACAACTATACTTAAAATTGCATATTACTTTTCTCTTTTTTCTAAATATTTCCACATACATTATCTCTTCCTGAACCATGACCGTTTTATGTTTAAGAATGTCCCAGCAAACTTCTGGCGCCAGTGGTAGATGAGGACAGAGAAGCTGTGGTTCGAGGTAGTGGGAGATGGTAGACAATTGCTCTGTGTTGAGAAAGCAGTCACCCTCTTGATGAGATGCTAATTCAGGAAGGGAACCAAAAGAGATTGTAGTGAAGGACCTCACATTATCTCTGCTAGCAAATCACTGCAGATATATACATTTTAGGAATATTTAACTGCTCTTTCTGAGCTATAACTTCAATTTGTACTTAAAATTGCTCTTAGTGTCCCTAATAAGCCTAACAGCAGGCCTGAAATGGACTAAATGATAAAGATGTTTTATGCTTTGACAGTGTGCTATGGACCAACGTTGTTTTGTTAGAAAACATTCTAAAATAAAAATAAACATTTGCACACACACATGCACATACACATATTACCAGGCATATGGTAAAGACTGCTGCAATGTAAATCTGCCTAAAAGACTTGAGGAAAAATGTACTTATAGACTTAATTAAATTATATGCAAGGCAAACATTTGTGGCACCATAATAATGTCTCGCTGTAACTTTTCCACAATCTCCATTCCTTTCTCTTGCCTCCACGACAGTTCCGTGCAGTAGGATACAATTTTTACAGCTCTGGAGCCATGTGAAGTGGTCCTAGTGACCTGGTAAAGTTAAGCCATCCTCCCGCAGGACTAGTTTGTTTGCCTGTTGTCAGTGGGTCAAGTGTATAATGACGTTTATCCAAAAGTCACATCCTAGTTAATGTCTATGAACAAGAAAGGTGTGTGTTGAGCCAGATCAGTGATAAAGTATGTACTCTTTATTTCCTAAGGCTTTTGTTTCTCCTAATGAACTTTTTTTCTGTTCAGACACCCATATACTAACTTGAGTAACTGGCCAGTAAGCAGCCCTTGAGCTGGGCGTGGAGGTGTTAGATGCTGACTGTGGGCACAGTCTCGCCTCAGCTTTCAGTCTCATCAGATCGAGTCCACGTTTACTTAGCCCCTTGCTCACTGAAATCCTGGTTATAGGATATTTTAATCAGCTGTTAATTCTTATTTGGTTGATGCCAGACTTTTTAGACCTTTTTCTTCCATTTGAGTGTTCGTTCAGAACAAATATCTACCAAGTACCTTCAGTGTGCAGTCACTGTTGGTAATCCAAAATCAGCAGGAACCCAGTCCCATGGAACTTAAAGTCTAGTCAGAAGAGTGGAGGGCAGACAGATAATCCCATGCAAAACATGCTTTTATGAGCTGTGTAACCAGGTGCCGCCGAGGACTGTTAGAGCCCACAGTGATGATTCAGACGAGGGCGTGGGCGTCAGCAAGGCCTCACCTAGGACTCAACACATAACTGAGGCCTGATGGCTTTCTTTTCATACAGGTGCATTTTCCTACATTACGGTGCCATGTAAAACTGCTTTTCTGAAGATCTAAAAACTACGAAAAATAAAACCAGTCTATTAAAAACTATTTTTTATGAAGTTTTTCTAATTTTATGAGAAAAATTGAGATGTTTAAGTTCATTTAACAAAGAAAGGTAAAAAAAAGTTAAAATATGTGTAGTCAGACTAAATAAAGCATTGTTTTAGGCCTGTTTCAGGCTACGAGAATCCCCCGCTTTCCTAAGTAGGAACAAACACTTTGGAACCTCATTGCTCGGGTCATGATGAACTCTTCTTCTGGAATCCTTCCCAGGTTGGGTTTAGAGAGGACCAGGCCAGAAATGGCAGTTGGATCTTATATTCAGGATGTTGGTAGAGCTACTCAGAGCAATTTTAAATTGAAATGATTGCTTTTATTTGTCTTATCCTTAAATTGACTCTCAAACTCTTATGTCTCAATTTTTCACAAATGAAATGCAAGAAGGAGGTTGGTCTCGGTTTTTTTTAATGATATTAGGTGATAATGCTTTTTTCCTCATGTTCTTATTTTAAATTTTCATTTTTTAAAAAGCATTGGACCCATTTTTTTTAGTGTATTTCCCCAAAAGAAAAAAATTGCAATACTAGGATTTAATCCTGGTAATAACTACCCCATTAATGATGACAAAGCTTCTGAAATGTTATCAGGATGAGAAAGGGGTATAAAATGGGTTAGAACAGTTTCTTTTCCTAGTCAAATATGCCTTGGGTGTAAGAATATGGAAAATAAATTTTAAAGACATCATTTTAATACAGAGTGTGTTCCATATTCTGGTATGTAAATGGGTATATAGACATACATAGGAATATATATATATATTTTTTAAGCTGTGATCTAAAGTAGTTTTAAGTGACTTTTGCCTCAGTTTAGTCTCAACATCAATGTAAATTCTAAAATGTCACACTATTTTTTATCCTACCACTTTACATTTTTTATTTATATCAACTGTATCACCCATTTTTATATATTTGATGTAAAGATTTTATCCCTCAATAATTCTAATGCTGAAAGCTTAAAATTTCAGTGAAAATAGCTGGGGAGAATTACATGTTAGTTGGAGGGAAAGCTGCCACTCACCAGCTTTGTTAGTTTCATTCTCAGGCCCAACTTCCATTGGGGATCGTTTGCTAAACAAGTAGCATCAAACCTCAATGGCAATCATTCATTTAATCTCCCAAATTCCAGCAATATGTTTAAAATTATGTTAAGCTAAGTATAATGGAAGAGCTAAGAAAAACTCCATCCAAAATAATGGCTGTACATTGCAAATGATGACTTAGTAAATAAACATGAGTAAATGAGGTAAATTTTTGTTCCAAGGAAATCTTTATTGAGAATTTAGAAGTGATTTTGCACAATAACCCAGGAGTTGCAAATATTTACAAGTGCACGGATATTGTTACAGATACAGAGGTTTTTTTTTTTATTTTTAGGAAAAAATACAGGTGGGCTATGTAGGACTAAAAGCGTTCCCTTCCCAGATCACATAATCCAGAGGGTGGGCTTTAGGCATGCAGAAGCTGCAACTTTTGACATTTTAGTATCAAGTATAGTGAGAAAAAGAAAAGACCAAGAATTAAAGCATCTGTATAAACCACATGACACATAAACACATGTGCATAAAAGTAAATGTATATATTTACGCATAGATACGCTGGGAGTATGAAATAGCATGTTTCCCTGATTAAAGCATAGTTGCCTAAGAAATCTATTAAAATATTTATCTAAGAGCCTCTTACCTAGGCAGAGAAGTTCCAGAAATCTGAAGGAGGGAAAGCTGGTCCTCGTGAGTAAATGCCACAGCTGTAGCTGGCCGTTTGTTTATAAAGCCCTTGAATGAGCACAGAATCCACACCACTGGTGCCTATGATTGGTGAACAACCTTCCATTTTTCAGCAAGTCCCATGTGTTTGCTCTTCTCCATATGATTTAGAGTTTTAACGAAGACACACATTTAGCCATTCTTATTTTGACAAGGAGAAGTAGAGTTGTTTGGGCTCTCTAATATTACCTGAAAAATTGTAAATTCACTGTAATGTTCTGTAATTCACTGTAAATTTCTATGATCTAGCACCCGTTTATTTTTAAAAATGATGTGAGGCATCATTAGAATCTTGCCTTCTGGGATTCAACGCTTATATCAATAAAGTCAAAGAGGTTTTTTGTTTTTGTTTTTATTTTTTAAGTATATATAAGGGGGAGTTTGGGCCCATTATTTAAAGTCAAAGTAAATTCTTAATTAAGAAAATGTATAGTTTGTGCCTGAACTAGTAGCCTTCATTCCTAATTGTTGTGTGATAGCGGTAGTTTTTGAATTTCTTCTCTTCTTGTATTTGCTAGCTCATTACTGTTTTCTCACCTTCTTCCCTTTCCCTCTGCCCACCCGTGCCCCATCTCCAAATGCTCCTCCTCCTGGGCACTAGAAGTCCAGCTCCTCCACCACCACGGGGGAAAAGATCACAAAGGTGTATGAGTTGGGGAATGAGCCAGAGAGAAAGCTGTGGGTCGACCGATACCTTACCTTCATGGAGGAGAGGGGCTCCCCTGTCTCAAGTCTGCCTGCAGTGGGCAAGAAGCCTCTGGACCTGTTCCGACTCTATGTCTGCGTCAAAGAGATTGGAGGTTTGGCCCAGGTAAGAGTGAACGAGTGAGTGACTAAGGGGACGCTGGAGATAAGCTCTTACCGCAGCTGTCTTGGACTCAGATTTTTTCTCACAGAGGAAAAGCTAAGCCTGTGGGAAAGTCACCGTTACTGGATCTATGTTTGTGGGCTGCAGGGGGAGAGCATTGGGGCTGGCGACCCCGGCTCTACCATCAACTCTCAGTGTGACCATGGCAGGTCATTTATATGGACCTCAGTTTCCTCACCTGTAAAATGAGACATTTGGGCCAGATTTTTCTTTAGGTTTCCTGACAGCTCTAGAATTCTGTGGAATCTGCCAAAATTTCCTAGTAAATACTCCAGAAATGTTTTGCAAATGACTGAATTAATTGTCTCAATCAGATATAAATCATATTCACTGTTGTCCTCCATCCAGAGCAATGTATCAAGAAAACTAAGTCGTACTTCTAGAACCATGTCCTCGAGACCTGTGCAATAAGAGGGTCAGTGGTCTCATTTTTCTGCAGGGCTGGGACTGGGGGGCAGGAGCGGCACCAGGGGTGCAGAATTTCAGGACGCTCATTTTCAAGGTTGTACAGGTGGCTTGACTTGGCTCTCAGAGTGAGTACCCCTTGAGTTTTGTACGTGGGCGCCATGCTTTCCTCACCCTCGCCCCGCCCTGTTTTAGTGTAGAGTCTAGTTTGTATGTACGTGTCCTGCATTAGACACAGGGAAAAGGTACTAACGTGTGAGTGCTCACTGGGTGCTGGGCTCCCCATTTGTTGTTGCCTTTGTTTTTCCAAATACTCATAAAATGCAGGGCTTGTCAGCCCCAAAGAAGACACGAGGAAACTGTAACAAAATGAAGTACAGTCATGTTGTGGTCCAGGGACTCTCAGGGTAGGTGACAGGGCCAGGTCTGTCTGATTTCCAGGACGCGTGCTCCTCCCATCTACCGTCGTTCTCAGGCCTGGCTATCCGTTAGAATCACCTGGGGAGCTTTTAAAAACCCGGCAGTACCTGGGCTCCTATCCAGATCAGTGGAAGGAGATGGGCCCCAGGTGGTCTCATATGCAGTGTGGCACCCTGCACTCGAAGGTCACTAACCATCCAAGGGTGAGGCATCTAATCCTCAAGTGTCCCTGAGGGCCCCCTCGGTCTTGGTGCTTTGCAGCTCTGGGGGATGCAGGAGAAGCCTTTGTTCTCAGCCCTCCTGAGGTGCCCCATCCCACCAGGGGCCTGAGATCTACCACTGAGACAATTAGAGCTTGATTCAAGGCTTTGAGTAATCAGGTGGTAAATCATATGGTACAGACCAGTGTGAATGGTGGTCAGCGGAGGGAGAGATCGAGATGCACACCTTTCCCCTGACCTTTCCCCGCTGCACCTAGACCCCCTGACATAGGTTTTTTAGAGTCCCTGGGACACTGGAACAGTTGGGTCTCGCCCATCTTGGAAGTGGAGAGACTGCACTCTCTCCTTTGACTCTCAGCAGAGTGTGTTACCAAGTTGGGTCTGCCAGCCAGGCGCTTTGCTGGCCTCACTAACAGGGTCACTTGAACGTAGCTGTGATTGACAGTGGTGAGTCCCCTGGCGACATCGTTGCCCGCACCCCGTCTTGATCTCTACCTGGAGGCCATCGGATGCGCTGGGGCAGGTGCTGCAGCCATGCATAGAGCAGCTGGAAGCCCTGCTCTTCAGGGCGTCCCGGGCAGCGCTCTGCTTACCTTCTCTGAAGCAGCTCACAGGCCCGCTTGTTGCAGCTGGGCGTTAAGTGCCGAAGGGGGCATTAAGCATTTCCGGGAGCATTCCGTGGTTTGTCTGTCATGCCCCCTTTAGTCCCAAGTAAATGGACTTAAAGAGCTTTGTGAGAAAGTCTGAATCCAGAAACTGAACATTTCCTTAAAAACCACTGTCCCCTTAATTCTTATACTCCTGAACACAGGAACAACGTGCTCCCCCTGTATTTGCAGGTCTTCTCGTTTCCTTCGTGTGTTCACCCTTGGGTAACTCTGTTCCCAAGTGGGAATCAAAAAGTTAAATTAATGCCTCAAATCCCTATGTAACGTTTCAGGATTTCTTTCCTTTTTTCTCTTCTCCTTTTGCAGTTGTGTTCCCTCCAGCCTGACTGTAAGTGGGAATACTGGACAGTCCCTTGTGCCCCTGCCCCTTTGCAAGCCCACGGGTGCCTCCGCAGGCCGGGCTCTTAAGTTGGGGTCATTTGGTCAGAGGCCTCATTCGCATAGGCAACGAGTTTCGCCTTTGCCCAACACCACGAGAAAGCCTCCTCCGAGAGGATGGACGTGGGCCGGAATTACGGCTCATCGTTCTGCAAGCTTGCGGCTCTTGGAAGAAAACATGGTGTTTCATATCAAGGCTCAAACACTTAAATTGCAAAATAGTTCTGTTATTGCTTTTTAAATTAGTTTTTAGACGCCCTTTTTTTAAATTAGAGGTGGGACGGGGAGGAGTGTGAGCGAGAGTGTACATTTGCTCAGAGAGAAATCGCTGGCTCCGGAGCAGCACCAGCTCTGGAAGAGTGGAGGCATTAAGAGATGCACCAGGCAGAAGAATCTCAACGAGCGGGCTTTTTATGTAGCTATCAGCAGGTTCCTTAATGGTTTTATAACTGTAAATGCTGTCTGTGCACTACGGAGTGGGGGTAATGAGCATTAGTTAAAAGAGGCGAATGAAAAAAATAAAAGTAAACCAGGGCATTAAGTGCTTTCTTTGTCTCCCGGCTTTAAACAAGCCACTTTGCTGCAAACCAACGATCCTGCCATTTTTTTGCTAGGTTAATAAAAACAAGAAGTGGCGTGAGCTGGCAACCAACCTCAATGTTGGCACTTCCAGCAGTGCGGCGAGCTCCCTGAAAAAGCAGTATATTCAGTACCTGTTCGCCTTTGAGTGCAAGATCGAGCGCGGGGAGGAGCCCCCGCCGGAAGTCTTCAGCAGCGGGGAGACCAAGAAACAGCCCAAGCTCCAGCCGCCCTCTCCTGGTAAGTGGCAGCGCTGCAGTTGCTGTCCTGGAAAAGCCCAGGCGCCCGCACGGCCGCCCGGAGGCTCTGAGGAGGCCACTTGGCAGTAAAGCTATCGGAGAACGTGGGATCTTGGAGAGGAAGGGGCGTTTGGTTGTGCTCTGTATCGCTGGACGCCCGTTGGCAGTGCTTAAGAGAGAATAAAATCTGGGATGTTGAAGGCACCATTCTTTTACTTTACCTTATTTAGTCAAAATAGACTTTGGAATTCTGAGCTATGTACCTTTCTTCCTTATACAAGTATTTTATAATGTTCCATCTAACTCTGTCAAAATAAGCATCCCCATTAAGCTGTGCTCACACTTTTGCACTACTGGAAAACGCCGCCTGCAGCTCTAACAGCTAGCTCCTGCCAGCTCTCCTTTGTCAAGGACACTCAGATTTGTATGTTAGCAAAATGGCACTTGGACTTTGTTTTTACTGTCCCCTGCCCAGCAAGTTCTCACTTTTAGGGAATTCAGCAAACTGTCACGGTAAAAGTCTACGCGGCCCTGCTTCTGAGACAGGGTGGTCCAGTTAGCTTTGACCCAGAGGTCAGAAGTCTTAGGAATACTACTTAGGGGTCATGGGGTTCACCTAAATTCTCATAAGCAAAACCAGTTAATGATGCCTGCCTTCTCTCCTCTCTCTCCGCTCAACTGTGGAGACCCTGCCGTTCCTTCGGCTCTCCTGCTAGCCTTCATTCTACCTGGAGTGTTTCACATTTGAAATTACTAAATCATTATATTCTGATAAATACGATATTAGAGATGGGAAGAAACTTGTGTCAGCCTTAGTTCTGGGTGGTGACCTCACTCAGGTGACCTCACTCAACCCTTCTCCTGTCTGTTTCTGGCCACTTCCAAGCCCTGTGATGGTCAGCAGTTACCCGTGCTGTCCCGTGTACGAGGTGGGGCTGGTCGTACTTGCCGCCTTGCATCGCCCAGGCTTCTTCTGGGATCAGATGATCATAGCTAATTGCCAGTATGTCCTGAGCACTTACAGTGAGCTGGGCGCTTTTCTAAGTGCTTTATCATTTAAGCTTCATATCAGGCCTGTGATACAGGTGCTGTTTAAAATCCATGAGAAAACTAAAGCACGTGAATTCTAAATAACTGGCCCAAAGTCACATCGATAGTGAGTGGAGGAGCGAGCTGGGTTCTCACTGGGGCATCTGGCTCTAGGGTTTCACCTGTGCCCACCATACTCTTCTGCTTGTGTTTGACGTACCTTTGTAATAGGTCAAAGGTTTATACAAAGGTTTGGTATCTATGAGCCAAACAAAGAAGTCGTTTCCCTTTTAATTATTTCCTCTGGCTGCCATCTGGATGGCAGTGCTAATACCTGAGGTCGCTCATCAAGGGATCGCACATAAATATTATTTAGGTCCAACGTGCACTGGTAGTGAATACACCTAGAGTTATATCTGCCAGTTCTAAGTACAAGTGGAAATCCTCCTCTCTAACCCCACCCTTCCAGATTCAGAGCCTTTGCCAGTTACGGTGCACCTTAAAAACTGTGAAATCTAATTTTAAAAATCTCACAACACTACATTCAGTTCACAGAGTAACACAAGCTGCCTATGAACAGCTCAGAAACTATTTTTCCTAAATAAAAACCCAGTGGGGTGTAGGGACCAAAGTGGCGATGTCTGCAAAGATCTGAAGGTATGTTTTATTTGCCAGGAAAGCACTCGTGTCACTGAATGGTCCGCACTTCTGTATGGAGAATAGCTCTCCCAGTGTGCGTCAGCTTCAGTACAAGAAATCCCGCTGATGTGTAGATCCTTCGGAAGTCTAGGACCTGTTCTCTTAACAGTCAGCTCTTTCCTTTTTCCCTTTTTTTCAAACTGCCATTTTTATGGCAACATTATCTTTTTAACTGCACAAAAGAGCTCAGATTGCAAATGCACTTCTGTTAACACAGTCTTCCCTGTGGTCCAGATGAAGCCCGAGTCCTGTGAAACAGGAAGCAATGGAAGGAGAGCTTCCTGAGCGTAGCCGCTTAGTCGGGGCGCGGCCCAGAGGGCAGCTCGAGGAGGGCACGAGGGCCGATCTGCTTGCCTTCCGCGTTCTCTGCACTGCTCAGACACACTGCTCAGCCAGACAGACTCACGGATGGTCAGTGGGGCCGTAACATTGGCCCATAACCAAAAGCCAGGCATCCCTAGCATCCATGAATCAGTGGCCTCTCTGATTCCAGAACTATCACTAAGGAAAGTGTCTCGGAAACATTTTTATTGTCAACGAAGGGAAAAAAATTATTCCCAACAATTTGCCATGTCAAGGTCTCGTCTACTACAAAATTTTTTAAAACTAATTTTCAGCCAAAATTTGTGTTCTTTGAAGTCAATTTTTCTCGTAAGAACATAATTATAGTTTATTTCTTACCAGCACATCCAAGCAAATTAAACTAAAAGATTCCTAAGGAACATTCAAGATTGGTTTTTTACATGGCCAACTCTGAACCAACTTAAACCTAGATCATTTGCCTATATTCTGAGAGCATTCTAAGCCATCCATCTGTACCCCAGTTTTGATTTGATGTGGCTGATATGGATCTGAAATTCAATTCTGTCAACCTGGGAGGTGTAACCCCCTAGCCCTTGGGGATACATCCCCATCTTCGCTGTTGGGTGGCTGTGTGGTTCTCATGCAGAGACCCAGGTCTGTCCTCCAGTGACTAGAGCAAGTCAGCCAAAGAAGGTTCGTGAATGAAACCTGGGCAAGGCCTGGGGCCACGGTTGCATCTTGAAGGTGCCAGTGGGGATCTCGTTATAATAAAGCTGTGAAAGTTTGTGGAGGTCTAATGAACAGCCACAGGAGTCGCCTCCCCAGGTGGCCTGGGCAGCCTGTAAACCCGAGTGGGGGCAGGGGAGGGGTCCCGGCTGGGAGGAGGGCGGCAGGGGAGGGGCAAGGAAGCCCCACATTCAATTAATAGGTCTGTAACCAAAAACCCACCCGTCTTTGCTGGCAGGTGGCTGACTGCATTTCTATTATTAGCTGACAGGTGATGTCACAAAACCTGTCATGGATCCAACCAGGGAATCCTCAGTGGAAGATAAATGAGAAAGGGGCTCGGGTTATAAACAAAGGTGCCCTCTGGGTGACCCCTAGTCACTGTAGACCTGGGACCTATCAGCCACTCTTCTTCCTCCCCACTCTGCCTCCCGCCACCCCAGCCAGAACTAGGGCACCAGGTTCTTGCTGTGTAAATTATCTTCCCAGCTAGGAGTCTGGCTGTACCGTCTGAAGTGTGTGAATGTACTTAACCTTCAGTAACCTTTCCATTGTTTACTTTCGAGTATACATTTGTAGCTTCTGGCAAAAGGTAGGGATATCCTAGAGAGCGTGCCAGCCTCCTCTATTAATGGAGCTTCAAGAGGTTGCATTCATTTTTTTTCCTGAAAGGAAAGGAAAAAACACTGGCAAGAGGGAAGAATTTTTCCTTTTTTTTTTTTATTAGCTGTAAATGTGAATACTTGTAAATAAGGGTCATTCTGAAATCCCAGCTTTGCGCGCTATGTTTTCGAGGAGCCATACATGCTGCTGTGTGGTCTGGGCCTCGATTTAAGAAGCCAGTTATTTCTCCTGCCAGCTCTATAGGGTAGTCATGTCTGTAGGAGTATCCTTACATATTTATGAAAGACTCTACTTTTTTCTTTGATTACATTTACTTTTTTAATATGCATTTCTAGGGACTCACCAAAATAAGCGTGAGTTTGTAAGTTTTCCTTTTAAGATATTTACGTCTGAAAAGATATCTCCATTAAAAGTAAGTCTTCCCTTGGGGCTGGCCTGGTGGCATAGTGGTTAAGTTCGCTCACTCCCCTTCGGCGGCCCACGTTCATGGGTTCAGATCCCAGGCGCAGACCTACACACCGCTCATCAAGCCATACTGTGGCAGCATCCCACATACAAAATAGAGGAAGATTGGCACAGATGTTAGTTAGCTCAGGGACAAACTTCTTCAAGCAAAAAGAGGAAGATTGGCAACAGATGTTAGCTCAGGGCCAGTCTTCCTCACCAAAAAAAAAAAAAAAGTAAATCTTCTCTATGTCTCTGAGAATTTCCCCGAGTCACTCTAGTCCTGGGTACCCAGGGGAGGTGATATACAGAATGCACAGCACTGTTGGCCAGTCATCAGTATTCATTTCGGACCAGGTCAGGACCTGGCCGACCTGATCTTGCTAGAGATATCTTTGTTCAGCTGAGAGTTTCTGAGAAGAAGTGATGGGCTCTTTTCCATTTCTGACTCCTTCATAGCACCTCTCTAACCTCTAGGGATTTAACTGTTTCCTCTAAAATAAACTGTGGGTGGTGATCATTGTAGTAAGCCTTGGGAACTTCATAGGAAAAGAACTATAGATAATAACAGAGGTGATATTATTATTTACCAAGCAGCCAGTAGATCTGTCGTTTGTTGCAGTTGTGAAAGTATTTATTGTAAACTGCATGAGGGCAAGGAATTTTGTCTTTTTTGCCGATGTAGCACACTGGGGTATCCAGGTGCAGAAAAGAGTCCACACTATAGTAAACACATTATTTATTCAATAAGTGATTAATAAATGAAACCAATATCTGTTGAACACCTAACATGCTAAGGACTTGGGTCAATGATGAAGCAGGAGCCCTTAAAATATTATGTTTTTCCTATACGGTGAGGTTAATTTTTTTAATTAAAAATTAAGAATCCTACTTAAGTTTTGAAAAAACCTGCTCAATTCTGAGCTCTGTTATTATAATATAATTATAGTTAAAGCCAAATCTTAGAACTCTGATAATGACATTACAGAACTCCAAACCAGTATGACTTATGTTTTGTAATAATAAATCTGATTTCATAGCTCCAAAAATGGCTGTTAACAACAGAGCATAGACACATCCAGACATTGCGAAGGTATTGAAATGATATAAGGCTCATTATTAATTTGTGTCATTGCTTTTCAACTTAAACATTTCTCATTGCCTAAGACTCAGAACTAATTTTTCTAATTTTTTTCTAAAACAGCACAGTAGTCTAGTAAATTGATATACCAAAGTTATCACCCCATTTTTCCTTATTCTCAAGACATTTAGATTATCTGCAATATAAACAATACTGAAATAAATGTTTTTCTGCCTAAAACCTTTTTTATATTAGATAATTTTTTTTTTGGAATAAATACCCAGGAAAGCAAGTACCCAGTCAAAAGGTATAAATATGTTTTAGGGCTCACAAATGAAGTATGTTGCCAAAGTTTACTAAAAAAAACCTTTAGTAATTTTCACTGTAAACAATGTAAGAATAGTTTTCGACACAAGAAAAAAAAGTGTAACTACTATGGTGATGGATGTTAACTAGAATTATTGTGGTCATCACTTTGCAGTATATACAAATATTGAATTATTACATTGTACACTTGAAACGAATATAATGTTATATGTCAACTATACCTCAATTAAAATAAACATAAGAGCAACTAATATTACTACACTGTTACCAGCAGTGGATACTGTTACTATTTCTAATAAGATGGTGTCTTATTTTCTTTCCTTTTCTTTTTGTTATTGCTAGCAAAGATGACCTTATTTTGATAATCTCTGTTTTTTCCCCATTTTCTCTTGGTACTTACTACTGTCAGCTAACTCAGGATCCTTGCAAGGTCCACAGACCCCTCAGTCAACTGGCAGTAATTCAATGGCAGAGGTTCCAGGTGACCTGAAGCCACCTACTCCAGCCTCCACCCCTCATGGACAGATGACCCCAATGCAAGGTGGAAGGTATGTGGAAAGAACTGTGTGAGCCATTCTAAAACATCAGATTTGTCTGCCTTTTAACTTTCTGGAGCAAACTTGATAGAGAGAAGAAATGGTATTCCCCAGTGAGTTTTTCAATGTTGATTACTACCAGTTTTATTCGTGTAATTTATTTTGGATGGTCTTTGCATTTACAGATTGCAGGATTGGCTTGTTTTCTAAGTAAGTGTTGGGAAGTAACTCCTGCCGTATCATGAAGCTCTCATTTTTCTCGTCCTTTAGAAGCAGCACAGTCAGTGTGCACGACCCATTCTCAGACGCCAGTGATGCATCGTTCCCCAAACGGAACTCCATGACTCCGAGCGCCCCGTACCAGCAGGGCATAAGCATGCCAGATGTGATGGGCAGGATGCCCTATGAGCCCAACAAGGACCCCTTTGGTGGAATGAGGAAAGGTAAATGCAGAGGCACCTCTGTGCAGGCTTGGTCCAGACGGCATTCTTCTCTGCCATCCCACAGCCGATTCACTTATGCATTCTGGACACATTTTAGTCCCACTCCCCAACCTATGAAATTTCTGGCCTTGGGGACAGTACTTAGCATCTCTGTGCCTCAGTTTCCTCATCTAGAAATGGGATAATAATAGGATCTGCCTAGAGGGTATTGTGAGGATTAATTGAGTTAATGCACATAAAGCCCATAGAAGAGTGACTGGTACATATAGTAAGGTGCATGGCCTCGGCATGGGGGTGATTATACAGCATGGCTGGGCGCCAGGCTAGTGCTGGGTAGTCTTAATGGCAAATCAGACATAGTCCTTCATGGAGTTGACAGTCTCTTGGGAGGAAGAAAGAGAAAGTAAGCTAAACCACAAATATTTAACTAAAGATGGTGGTGGATGGAAGAAAGAAACCAATGGAAAGGAAACAAAAAAGACGAAAGCACGCAAAGAGCAATGATGTTGGGGGGCCAGTGGGCGAAAGGGGCATCTCCTTAGCGAGGATGGTTGGGAGGGGAGGGCTCTGAGGAGATGTCACTTCTCTGCTGAGACCCAAGAACGAGGAGTCCGTCAGAGAAGAGCTGGGAGTGGGGGAGGCCCCGAGCGAGCTTGGCGTATTTGAGGAGGTGGGAGGCTTCTGGAGCATAATGAGTGGGGGGCGGGCATGCTGAGGCCATTGGGGCTCTTGGGGCCAGAGCCTTTCAGCCGTCAGAGGCACATGATGAGTTTAGGTTTTACCCTCGCCCCCTAAAAGATGTTACACAGGACGTCACGTGAGTAGGTGTTTTGTTAAAAATAAATAGGTAAGTAACTGGCTATGTGTGGAGAATGTGTCGGAGAGAGGCGAGAGTAGATTTGGAGAGACCGCTGTGTCGGTCCAGGGGAGAGATGGGTGTGGACTCAGTTACCAGCAGTGGAGAGAGAGGTGGAACTGCTCATGTGTTTTGGAGGTAGAAGCAATGGGGTGTGCTGATGGTTCGAACGTGGGGGTTAAAGGGAATAACCAAGGGATGGTGACCGGAGGGTGAGGATGTCTCTACCTTGGATGTGGACGTGGGGAAAGGACCATCTCAGAGAGGAAAATAAAGGTTCACTGGTTATTACCTGCGGTGTGGACAGCTGGGAAGTGAGCAGGATAAAGGAGGAAATCCAGAGCTGACTTTTGGGTGTGTTCAGTGGTAGCTGGTAGAACGTACGTCTGGAGCTGGGCAGAGCGTGGGAATTAGGAACAATTTTGGAGAGCTAAGCAGAGAAATGGTCCTGACAACTGTGGGATAATGAGATCTCCAGGAGAGTGTAGGAGGGTTATGATGGACGTGAGCGAACACCCAGGGTGGATTTTCCTTTATGCTTATCAGTCCCCAGCATTCACTCAGCCCTGAGATTGTAGCCATCTGACTTCTGCCCCACGCTCCCCCCGTGGCATATGAGCGCCACGTGCTTTTTGACACTCTTCCAAATGCATGAAATTGAGACATGATGTGAATATTATTGCGAAAAATATAGAAAAATAGTGAGTAACATTTTTATGGAAGTACTTATTCTGGGATCCCTTAAATAATCGTACTTCTGTTGTACTTAGATGTTTGGGGCACGTAAATTTCATGATATACTGTCTTGAATAGTGAGAAGCATAAAGCCCGAAGCCTTGGTTTTCACAAATATTACGGACCAATGAAAAAGAATCATCGCAAAATTTTAAATATTGGGCATATAGCATTTAATTAACAAACAAGATTATATTTCATATGTATTTCAGATATATTTCAGATATCTGTTACGTAAAGCAAGATATAGTTTTTCCTTTCAAAAGTTTCAGAGCTGGTTATTCCAGGTAAAGATTTTGCAGAACATATAATAAATCCATAAGCTCAGAAATTCGAAAAAGCTTTGTGAACGTTGGAAGTGGCTATTTTTTTAGTGGTATGAGATGCTAGAAAGAACATTTTATTAGTGCCGTTGGTTGTATCACATTTTTAGACTCTGAAAACATGGCAATAACATAGAAAAATCATTAGTAGTGTTTGGAATCTGGCTTCAAGAGTTACTGTGAACCATTCCAGTATCCTACCTATATGCCATATTAGACAGCAAGAGTTGTGTTTCTTTTCTTTCCCTGTGCCCAGAATTTTTCTTATTGTGAAAATAAATTTGGAAGGGAGGGGCTGGGGGATGATTGTGGATTATCTGGCTCAGCGCTAGGCAGCTGTATAATAGGTTTTCATCAACCATGTAAATGATACAGTGGCTCAGAAGGGAGCTCTGTCTCACGTTTCCCCAGTTAGTTCAGCTCACCTGCTACCTGACAATAAACGTGTATTTAGTGCCAAATTCGAGCAGTTAAATAGAAAACCCACAGGAAACAGCCGTATCTCTGTTATAATGAAGTTTTCCATTCCTCGGTTCACCTTCCTCTGTCAGTGAACTTGGTGGTGCCCTGATTTTGTGTTTAATGACGACGAACATCGGTAGAAACCATGCTCTTTATTCTTGTTGCCGCTCTGCTGTTGACCTGTAGTGTGGTGGTGGAGTGGACAAAAGAGCCTGACCTCCATAGCCCTGAGCGGCCTGGGCCCTGCCTGTCCGCCTGCCTCCCTTCCCCATCTGCTTACTTAATCACTGATTGAGGAACTGATTGATTAGTTATAAGTGAACAATAAGTGAATATTTATGTATTGTTTAACTTAACAGTATATTTTGAATATCTATTAATATCTGCACACATAATCCTACTTACTATTTTTAATGCTCTAGAAATGGATGGGTTGTTTCATAATATTTTGCTATTATAAACAATGATGCAGTGATTATTGAAGTACAGCTGTTTTTTCACACTTGCAAAAGTGTTTCTGTGAAATAGATTCCTAGAGGTAGAATAACTGAATCAAAGGATATGAACTTTTTTTTTGCAGTTTACTGAGTGTCTTTTACTATGTAACAAACTACCCCAAAACTTAGTGGCTTTAAACAACACGCTTCACTGTATCTCACAGTTCTGTGGTGGGCTGGTGGTTCTTCGTTCCCTGTGTTGTCAGCTGGGGCTCTGAGGCGGCCCTCCTCTGGAGGCCTGAGCGAGACCCCTACTGGAGCTGGGATGGGCTGAGTGGCTGGGGTCATCTGGAGGCTGTCCTGGGAACTCAGGGGGAGCTGTTGGCTGGGGGCCTTTCCATAGAGCTTCCGGGGCGCCCCATGCCATGGTGGATGGGCCCGGGAGGGAGCACTCCAGGAGGACAGGCGCCTGCAGGCCTCTGCTGCGGTGCGTTTGCCAGTGCCCCATTGGTCACAGCGGGTCACATGCAGGCCCAAACTCACTGTGGGAGGGGACCTCACAGCCTACGAATACCCAGAGATGTGCTTCTTTGGGGGTCGCCAAAGTATAGCCTACCATAGCAGGTATTGGCAAAAGTTATACCAATTTAATACTCTTAACGTGAGTGTGTAAGAGTAAGGGTCCTCATTCCCATACTAAGAATGATTAGTATCAGTCATTTTAATATTTGCCAATCAGATTGGGGGAAAAAGCTTCATAATTGTTTTAACTTGGATTTCTTTAATTATTAGTGAGGTCACCCATCTTTTCATATATTGACTATCATTCTTTTTTTGTGAATGTTCATTTATATGTTTGCCCATTTTTTAATTTGTCTTTTTTCTTATTGATTTTTAAGAACTCTTTATGTATTAGGGAATTAAGCTATTTAACTTTAATTATCCCCCTTAATGTCTATCTGTCTCTGTTTTTATGTCTGTAAAATGGAAAGTAACATGAAAACTAGTTCTACCCCAGGTTGATGTGAGGTCCAATAAGATAAAGTATGTGAAAGCATGTTGCAAAGCAGAATACATTCCACCCGTACTGGGCTCCATCGTGGACACCTCTCTGCCAGCCTAACCAGTGTTATCAGCTCACAAAATTTTAGTCAGCTTTTGCCTCACATAATATAAAAGTAACCTTCACAGGATGAAGAAAGATAGTGGTGCTGTATATCAATTAAGATTTGCATTAAAATGTTTAATTTGCCCACCAGCTAGTTTCTGGGCTTGACCCAATTTCCTTCAGGCTCTGAGATGATGCTAATTTGCATATTTGACCTAATCGCCACTCTCCCTTCGAAAGAAATAGTTGTATCTCATCCATTCTTGAGCTATTCTGAACTCCCTAGTGATTTTCTTTATCCTGATTTTGGAGTGAGTCAGTGGGGGGGTGTTTATGTTAAGGTTTTCACTTTTTTTTCCCATAAGGGAAAGGAACTGCATTTATATATGTATTTCATCTCTTCCTCACAACCACTCCATGAGATGGTATTACCAACCTCATTTTATAGACAAGGAATTAAACTCACAAGTTTAGTAATTTACCCAAGTAAGTATGGATCTGTGCCTGTGTTCATTTCTGTATTATTGTATAACAATTTACCACAAACTTAGCAGCTTAAAACAACATAAATTTATGATCTCATGTTCCTGTGGGTTCTCAGCCCAGGGTCTCACACAGCAGACGTCAAGGTGTTAGCAGAGACTCGATCTCATCCAAGGCTCAGAGTCCTCTTCTAAGCTCGTTCAGGTTGTTGGCAGAATTCGGTTCCTTGCAGTTGTAGGACTGAGGTCTTGTTGTCTTGTTGACTGTCATCTGGGGCCTTTGCAGCTCCTAGAGGCTACCACCCCTCCTAACACTTGGCCCTCTCCACCGCATGGTGGCTGCTTCTTCAAGCCCAGCGGGAGAGTGTCTCTGACCTTCAGACATGGATGTAAAGGGCACACCTGGATCATCTCCCTTTTGGTAACTCACAGTCAGCTGATTAGTAACAGTAGTGACATCTGTGAAATCCCTTTTGCCGAGTGGTGTAGCGTAATCATGGGAGCAATATCCCATCATGTTCCTGGCTTCTACCCTCACTCAAAGGGAGGGGCTCATACAAGGCATTTCCATGGGGTGGGGGGATCTTGGGGTCCATCTTGACCCCAGGCTTTAGGCTCTTTCTTCTGTTGTTGTCAGCCCTATTAAGGATAAGATGTTTGTCTGCCATATTAAGGAGAACTGAAATGACTGGAAAGTGATGTTTGGGCCCTTTGGCTTTTGAAAATGCTTAATTTTTTGTCTGTTATTGAAAACATTGCAGTGCCTGGAAGCAGTGAGCCCTTCATGACGCAAGGACAGATGCCCACTGGCAGCATGCAGGACATGTATAACCAAAGCCCCTCTGGAGCCATGTCCGGTCTAGGCCTGGGGCAGCGGCAGCAGTTTCCCTACGGAGCCGGCTACGATCGAAGGTGAGTGTCTTCTGAGAGGAAGATGAGGTGCTTTACTAGAAACTGGGCTTTCCTCCCACACACTTGAGCCCTGGTAGCCGGTGATAACTTACGGTGTCGACTTTCCTGCTGGAGTTGATAAGGGAACTGGTGTCAGATGGCTGCCTCCGTCGACAGCTGTAACCGGACCGGGGAGAAGGACCTTGTCCCCAGGCAGCCAAGTGCAGCTGTGTTTTTATAAGCAAATGCCCAAAAGCATAAATTAGAAATGTGCTGGGGCTGGGCTGGCCATGGCAGGCATCTCCCTGAGCACTCCAAGTGCCAGCCGTCCTCTCAGCACCAGATGCCCTCTGGAGGCAGCCACTGTCACCACGCTGAGTCTGACATCAGCTTCCACGGGTGGCCTGTCTTGGGAAGTCCCCAGAACTCGTGGGTTTTCCAGCCCCTTCCTTCCTCCCTCCCACCGGCGTTTCTTCCCTGGGAAACGTCTGTGCAGTGGTCGCCACACCAGGCTTTCCGCAGACGTGGGGCTGTTGTGGGTTCTTGGAAAGGTCTTCCAGGCGTTGCTTTTTCTGGTGTTTCCTCTCCTCCCTGTGAACGTTTTAAATAGAGAGAGGATACTCTGCTCCGTGGTGAACGTCTCCAGGAAAAGCCACCGCACAGGCTTCCCTGGAGCTGCTTTTCAGGACGGCATCTTGACGTTAAAATGGCGAGTTAGGTTGCAGTACTGATCAGATTTATTTTTAATAAAATAGAAAGAAAGTCATTGAGATGTCTCTGAGAGGTAACAGAAAACTGCCTCCTAAAACAGTGGCTTAGGGCAGACTTCTCTGTGTGAGGAAGGCCCCAGACTTTACTACTTACTACAGAAGCCCCTTCTCTTGGTTGGTGTGTTCTTTACCTGCTTAATAGAGAAGTGCTCAGAAACGAAGTCTTTAATATAATACTGGTGATTTTTAAAGGAAAAAAAATGGAGGCACGATGGACAATTCTTTCTCTAACTGTAGCCACGTTGGCATGCCTCAGGATGGGGATGGCTTTGAACCATTTTCTTCAGAATCCGGGTGGGTGGTGCTCCTCAGAGACTGCCCAGGCCAGAGCCGCCCCTTCATCAGTCCACGTGCTGGGCTCATAGGAACGGTTACGTCATGAAAAGGCTTCCCTGGTTTGATACAAAGGGAGAAAACGTTTGAAAAATTACTGTTTTACCAAATAAGGTTTCTTTCTGGCATTTTCTATGAGCCTGGTTCCTGAGATTACATAGCTGTCACATGCTCAAAGTGATGTGGAACTTTCTGGAAGTGACTTAAAAATCTAGGCTCCTAATTCTTACCCTGGTTATAAGTGGTGAATGTTCATTTATGATGTCTGCATTAATCAACCACTGTGTAATGTTGAATGTACTGAATCAAGGATTTGACTTAGATTTGGTTTGTTTTTGAGGGTCCAGGAAAAGCTATTGATTTTTTTTTTTTTTTTTTGGTTGATGAGATTAGAAGGAGAACAGTTGTCCTGGGACATATATTTTTAAAGGAACCCAAGCAAATGTGCTTTTCTATTTCTTCTAGAATGCTTTCTAGAACATTGCATGGCCTAGGTTTAAAAGTCCTTTTGGCTCTACCACATTGCTCAGTTTTCTCTTCTGAAAAGTGTACTTGTTCAACGTAAATTTTATCCATGTCCATTATATTTCTTTCCTCCTAACTATAAGCTTCCTTCTAGATGTCAGTGTCATTAGCAAAAGCTTACCATGTCTGTTTCACATGTGATATTATAAAAATTTGTTTATTTTCTTTCTTATTCTCATTCCTTGATCAGTTTAGGAGTATATTCAGTCCAAGTATTCTTTCTTACAAGATTCAATATACTAACTAAACCAGGGTATTTTTTATGGTATTTATAACTTTACAATATAGTAGCAATTGAAAAATAAATGTATCGCTCATTCCCATTTATACATTTAAATCATCCCTCTTATTCTTTTCTGTAGCCTTTTAGGGTCATAGCACTTTGAAAATTTGAATACTTATATCTATACAACTATTAGCTAACTCAGTATCATTTGGATTAATTTCAAAGTATACCTTTAGAAATTTGAACATTTTATATTCATAATGAGAAAGTGAGAAGTAGAAACATTTTCCGAGATTATATGTCCATGTTCTGGTACTCTTAGAAATGCTGCTTTGCTTCTGAGATTCTTTCTGTTGTTTCTTGTTTTCATGAAGACCTCACATCCCAGTGCGGCCTGACATCCCGGGAACTCCAGTGGGGGGCAGGCCCTCACTCAGAGGCGGGGCCGGCGGCCTCCGCTCACACCTACCAGCCAGGAGGTTGGCAGCGTTCCCAACATGGGTGTTCCCTCCCTTTTGCTAAAAGTTCCAGGGCTGCTGCTGCTCAGAGTGCCTGTTGGGAGATGCGTGTGGTGAAGAAAAGACAAGGCTGTTGAGGGGTGTAGACTTTCCAGAAATGGGCTGTTGGTTTCTCTCTTGGCCTGAGGTCCTTTGTAGATGAAGTTTTCTTTGAATGCCTCATTCTAGGCATGAACCGTATGGGCAGCAGTACCCAGGCCAAGGCCCTCCCTCAGGACAGCCGCCATATGGAGGACACCAGCCTGGCCTGTATCCACAACAGCCGGTGAGTTGGCGAGCAGGCGTGCGTCTCTGTGCTATCTGTTTAACACTCAAACTCGTGTCGCTTCTGAAGAGTTTTAGGAAGTATAACAAAAACGATTCAGTTTATTCAACAGTCACAATATATTTGTTTATGCTAGAAAATATTCTTAGGATTTTGATGTCAGCACATTAAAAATAGCTCTTGATAGATGGTATCCTGAAACAAATATAACATGTTATGAGAAGTTCAGGACATTCATCCTTGTAAATAAGTCCAAGGTAAGTACATTTTAAACGTGTGTCTGTTGTGTGTACTATCATATCCAATACCATTTTAGAATAGAAATTTGTCAATATGTTTTAAAGAGGACATGTAGGAAAAAACTACTTAAAATATTATCTTCTAATAGTGAAAGTTAATTGGCTTTTTAAAAATAAGATATTCACCACCACATATCTTGACTACGTAGGATAGGCTTATCCTACGTAGTGGTTCACGCAGCCACTGCAGCTCAGAGATGATGGGTTGTGCAAAATGCTCACCTTGCAGTTATCACTGTGATGCAGAGAATTGCACATCATGCTGGGGCTTTTGAGACACAGGAATTTGCTATGTCTAAACAACTTTTTAGGTCTAAGACGTCCTGTAAAATAGAGAGGATTTTAAACGTTTATTTAATTTCACTAGAACATGTATGTACAGTGGATTGTATTATTAAACCAGCTAATCTTAAACAATTTTCAAGTAAAGTGAAAGAACACTAACACATCAGCATCTTACTCGCTCACTGCCATCAGGAGACTCCCACCCTGATCAGGTGCTGGTCCCCCTTGTGGCCCCAGGAGGAGAGCTCAGTAACGGGGGCCCTGTGTTCAGAGACTGGGCCCAGGAGGCTTTCATGGGAGAGCCTGACCTGGACAAGCTGGAAGTCGGGGCAGCGGCCGTAGAATATCGGGTGTCAGGGTAGTGTGGGCAGTCTGAGGAGCGAGATCCTGTACCGTGCTTTTCTGTAAAGTTAGCCCAAGAAATCTGGGTAATCCAGGCACCTTTCAGGCTGGCCCTCAGAATGCTCAGTCCATTCTGGTGAGATTTATCCTTCTACCTACTGAGGTCATCTTAGTGGAGCTCCAAGCCCCAGTCCAGCACTGCTCGTGTGGTGTCACCAACACCATACTCCCCCAACATTGCAGCCCTGGAAATACCAGGAGAGGAGGCCTTTTTTTCTCCCACAGAACATTTCAAGCACATGAAAACAAACTTTGGAAGCCCTCTTGGAGTACGTGACATGGTGTTATATAAAACTGAAATACAGTACATGAATTGTTAATCCTTAGTTGTTATAAGAGCTTCGCATGTTCCTTTTGAAATGAACGTTCCACCAGGTAATAACTATTTTGCATAATTTAAGTGTGTGATTGTACCTGGAAAAGCACATCAGTATGATTTGTCTTTGTGTGAATTTCAGAATTACAAACGCCATATGGACGGCATGTATGGGCCTCCGGCCAAACGCCATGAGGGAGACATGTACAACATGCAGTACGGCAACCAGCAGCAGGACGTCTATAACCAGTACGGGAGTTCCTACTCCGGCCCGGACAGGAGGCCCCTCCAGGGGCAGTATCCGTACCCCTACAGCAGAGAGAGGGTGCAGGGCCCGGGGCAGATCCAGCCGCATGGGATCCCGCCTCAGATGATGGGCGGCCCGATGCAGTCGTCCTCCGGCGAAGGGCCTCAGCAGAGTCTGTGGGCGACACGCAATGATATGCCTTACCCCTACCAGAACAGGCAAGGCCCGGGTGGCCCTGCACAGGCACCTCCTTATCCAGGCATGAACCGCACGGATGATATGATGGTACCTGATCAGAGGATCAATCACGAGAGCCAGTGGCCTTCCCACGTCAGCCAACGTCAGCCTTATATGTCCTCTTCAGCCTCCATGCAGCCCATCACGCGCCCGCCTCAGTCCTCCTACCAGACGCCGCCGTCACTGCCAAACCACATCTCCAGAGCGCCCAGCCCCGCCTCCTTCCAGCGCTCGCTGGAGAGCCGCATGTCTCCCAGCAAGTCTCCCTTTCTGCCCTCCATGAAGATGCAGAAGGTCATGCCCACCGTCCCCACGTCCCAGGTCACGGGGCCACCCCCCCAGCCACCCCCCATCAGACGGGAGATTACCTTCCCTCCTGGCTCCGTAGAAGCATCACAGCCAGTGCTGAAACAAAGGCGCAAGATTACCTCAAAAGATATCGGTGAGCATTCCCAAGCCTTTGTCCCTGACATGCATTCCAGTTGTGATCTAGAACGTTAATTTTAGTTAGATGTAGTTCCTGTTAGTCTCCAAGGGATGAAATTCTTAGGACTCCAAGCCATCAGGACAGGTTTTTGTACAGGAGCTATAGTTGGAAGCTGCTAATCTGAATCAAGCAAGAGTGCCAGAGAAGAGCGTGAATTAAAATGGTATTTTTACACGTGAGTGTTATTGTGTGAGAGGGTAGAGCTCCAGCTGAGAGACCAGGGAATCCTCAGTAACTGTGTACTACATCTGGGGCTTAAAGATTTGACCTTAACCAAGCACTCAAATCTCTGCAGTGCGTGCACTAAGGTGGCCTGGGAAAATGTGAATGCGAGCCACTCTGTGATTTTGGTGACAACACAGAGAGAGTTTCCTTGGGAAAAAGTAGAAGCCTGAATATACTATGTAGATAGATATATGATGTGTACATGGAATTTGATATGATATGTAGAATTGATGTAACGCACACGGCGCTGGTAGATATGAGCCAAGACACTTTTTCAGTGGAATGCTGATGGTGCTGTTCATCCTATTTGGGGTGTTCTGAATACTAATTAGAGATCTGGACTATCTGGGAGTACACACAGTTTTCCTGCGTTATTTTTGAAGTACTTTTAATACAGCAAAGGAAATTATAGATCTTGGTTATATAAAAAAAGTTTTTTCAAAATCACTTGACTTGAAATCATTTGCAGTGATTAGAAAGATTAAAGATACCAAATTAAAGATATTAAAGATGTTTTCAATCATTGGACATTAAGGAGATATATAGAGAGAAAAGGGGAGAAAAGTAAAGAGTTTTATATCGGGAGAGGGATGCTGGAGGTGAGAAAGAAATACAGAGAGACCCGGTACTGTTTTATATGTGGAAATATGTATGTAAAACTATGCACATGTGTCTGTGTACATATATATGTTTAAATAAATAGATATATTTAAATTCTTATAAAATTTCTTAGTGCATGTTATACCAGTATTTGTCTTTAGCCTAGGGAAATTTATGTTCCTTATTTTAAAAAGAAAATTTGCTTTTTCTGTTATAAAAGTATTATGTGCCTATCTTAGAAAATTGGAAAAGTAGATGAGAGTAAAATACAGGTGGAAACCCACGGTGCCCTCCCGCACATGCGCTTACTGTTGGTGTCCCGTGTTGGCTGTTGCTGCGGTGAGTTCTGCTTGCACGGGTCTACTGGCACCGTGTGGTCTGCTGGCTTCCTGAGACAGATTCCGTGGAACTTTCAGACACATGACGGGCCTCCTCTTCTCACTCCATCTTACGGCACTTCTTGCAAACATTTTATCTAGCACTGTGTCTTCTTCAGTAACAGAAACGGGGAAAACAAAAGTACAACCTTCTATCTCCCATCCCCTGGCTCAGGCCAAGCTCTTGAAAAATCTGAACCGTCAAAGTGCTATCATATTTGTCAACAGCACGTTCTGAGGGCAGGAGCTCAGAAATAGAAGAAGACAGCGTGGGAAAAATCCAGACCTTTACATTAGAGAATGGGCTGTTTGGGAATTAAATTTTGCTTATATCGTACATATTTGCTGGCCTTCTGAAGGTGCCACCTTGAGACATTTGTGAATGGAGCAGGGCAAAGAAGACAAATACCGTTTTGGGGTTTGACTCCATTATTAAAACTCTGGTGCATCGTTACAGATTCTGTTAGGGGCTAAGAGAAAGAAGCCAGAGATGAGAAAGGACCATTTGTGCTTAACCACTCCCACCTCTAGAAGCACTTTGGCTCACGTTTAACCCACAAAGCAAAAAGATCTTAGACAACAAAAGCGTCTTAATACAGCTATCCCCTCCGTTTAAAATCTGAAAGTGATCATGTTTAGCTATGCCTCAGAACATTTGTTTAAAATCAATATTTAACTGAACGCTCCACTTCTTTTCTCTTATCCTTTTCTTATTTTTTATTCTTTTGTGCATAGAGTTAATATTAATCATATCCTCGTTCTTTCCCCTGTTTTTAGTTACTCCTGAGGCCTGGCGTGTGATGATGTCCCTTAAGTCAGGTCTTTTGGCTGAAAGTACGTGGGCTTTGGACACTATTAATATACTTCTCTATGATGACAGCACTGTCGCTACTTTCAATCTCTCCCAGGTAAGCCAGCGCCAGTCCAACTAAGGACCAGAGTAGAGTAAGAAGATTGAGTCGTACCTAATGCCCCAATGAATGCCCCCATGATGAGCACCCACTGGCTAACCATTTTTATCATGGCAGTTGTTATAAACCAACACCAGTCAATGTATAGGTGTCTGAAAGTTTAGTCTAGAATCATAATTCATTTCAATCTTTAGGGTCAATACACATATACCTATATTTCTCCTAAGAAAACAGCGACCTTGTTCGTGCGTGTGCACGCATATGCGTGTGTGCGCATATGCATGTGTGGCATAGATGATAATAGTAAAATTAAATTGTTGTTTAGAATGAATATTAGCAGGCCGATGGGAATTAATCCACATGTAACATAAAGTTACAACTGTATAGTGTTGGATATGCAGTACCTTACAATGGGACACTACCCTACTTTCCAGGGGGACATAGCATCTTTCTTTTAATTAAAAAAATTATATTATAGAAAATGTATAATATATGTAGAAGTAGAGAGACAGTTTAATGAATCCCATGTGCCCATCGTTCAGCCAAAACATGTATGTATGAACGCATGGCCAGACTTGTTTCTTGGTCTGTTCCCTCTGTTTCTGCCTCTCTCCAGGTTATTTTGAAGCCGTCACTTGGAAGCTACTACTTGTACTGAGCTTAAAACGCCCCTTTATTCAGTGCTAGGCTGCTAGTCGATTCCAGCGTAATCGCTTTAGAAGAGAGAAGGGGAATTGAGAGTTAGGAAAAATGCCCAAGAGTCAACTGAGCTACAAACTTTTAAAGAAATACTTAGAAACAAAAATGAGAAAAGGTTATTTTCCCTACTATGTGTGAACAACTCTCTGCTTTGGGTGAAAAAAGCCAAAACATCTGATTCCCTTGCTTCTATCAAATAGGACCAGAAGCTTCTACTTGCTCTTTCTTCTCTCAGTTAAGTCCTCATTACAGCCCTGAAAGGCGAGGTTTCACTAGATAGGAAGTGTATTAATAAGGCCATAAACATTGCATGAAGTCTGTTTTAACAGAAAATAAGTATTTAAAAAACTTATACTGCCTTTGCTAGAGTAATGAACTTCATCCTCACGTCAGGTGAACTGCTGTTGATCACACGTTTTCATAACCAGAGTTGCTCTAGCAACTTCTCTTTCCCACACCTTGGGAAAAAAGTAAACTCTAAGTGGGGGGTAAAAGAACCCAACCCTCCGCTTGAAAAATTGTGCCTTCGTACTCTAAAAGCAAGTACTTTATGGTTAGTACTTGGGTTTCCCCTTACTTCTTAGTTATTGTTTCAAACCCACTTTCAGGAATTGACAGCAGACGATGAAAGTATGGTTGATTTCCGTAACACCCATCATTAAAGAATCCTTTCTTTACCTAATCCTTTATCCTCCCTGAATGTCGTGGTGTGGGTGTTGAGGGGGGGAGCTGGGCAGTTGCTAATCGTGGAATATATTGGTTTTCTTGACACAAACATTTGCTTAAAGGAAACAAAACTAGTTCTCATAGTGGCTTTCATCTTTCAGCTAGAGTTGTGATAACTGAAATGTAGAATTGCATTCTACAAAACATTTTAATTCATTTATCAGGGACTGAATTGATTTGTTTTTAATTTTCTGTGTTTATGAGCTCTACTACATTGCTGAAATTATCTTCTCCCAAAGATATATGGAGAACGTAAATTAGAGTAACCTATGGTACCTGAGGCAAAAATAACCATAAAATCCTAAGAATAATAACCATAAAAACCCAGGCTAGCAAGTCTCAGATAAATAATAGAAGAGAGCAGACTCACTGTGGGTGAATGCGTCTATAAAATCCACGTCCCCACTCTTCTAGTAAGGAGTGCATTGTATCTAAAGCAGAAAACAGGAGACAGAACAGCAAAGCACTCCCTCGTTGATAACATTAGGAATATGAAAATAACAAGAAAGTTTTGATGTTGATTGTACAGGAAAGTAAGCAGCAAGTAAGAAACATGATAAATGTTGTTTTGGTTAATAACATAAAATTCAGAAAGGTGGTTCTAACTGATACGTAGTTTCTCTTTCTTGGCCCAGCCTAAAAGGAATTAAAACGTGAAAATCATTGTAAAAATGTATTGATAGCTATCAGGATGTTTACCCTTCCCAGTCCGATCTGATGTTATAACATTGTTCCTATTCTTTTCTTGTTCTCTTCCCCTCCTCTCTAGTTGTCCGGATTTCTCGAACTTTTAGTAGAGTACTTTAGAAAATGCCTGATTGACATTTTTGGAATTCTTATGGAATATGAAGTGGGAGACCCCAGCCAAAAAGCACTTGATCACAGTACAGTGAAGAGAGATGATAGCCAGTCCTTGGCAGACGATTCGGGGAAAGAGGACGAAGATGCTGAATGTATTGATGACGAGGAGGACGAGGAGGAGGATGAGGAGGAAGACAGTGGAAAGACGGAGGCCGAGGATAAGAGCAGCCCGCCTCTGACCTCTCCCGATGCCTCTGCAGATCCAAAGGAGAAGCCCAGGCAAGCCAGTAAGTTCGACAAGCTGCCCATCAAGATAGTCAAAAAGAACAACCTGTTTGTGGTGGACCGATCTGACAAGCTGGGCCGTGTTCAGGAGTTCAACAGCGGACTCCTGCACTGGCAGCTTGGTGGCGGGGATACCACGGAGCACATCCAGACTCACTTTGAGAGCAAGATGGAAATCCCTCCTCGCAGGCGTCCCCCTCCCCCTCTCAGCTCCACAGGTAGAAAGAAAGAGCAGGAAGGCAAAGGGGATTCCGAAGAGCAGCAGGAGAAAAGCATCATTGCAACCATTGATGATGTCCTGTCCGCTCGACCAGGGGCTCTGCCCGAAGAGGCGAACCCTGGTGCCCAGACCGAGAGCAGTAAGTTTCCCTTTGGTATACATCAAGCCAAAAGTCACCGGAACATCAAGCTGCTGGAGGACGAGCCCAGGAGCCGAGACGAGACTCCTCTCTGCACCATTGCACACTGGCAGGATTCTCTGGCTAAGCGCTGTATCTGTGTGTCAAATATTGTCCGTAGCTTGTCTTTTGTGCCTGGGAACGACGCCGAGATGTCCAAACATCCAGGCTTGGTGCTGATCCTGGGGAAGCTGATTCTCCTTCACCACGAGCATCCAGAGAGAAAACGAGCGCCGCAAACCTACGAGAAAGAGGAAGACGAGGACAAAGGGGTGGCCTGCAGCAAAGATGAGTGGTGGTGGGACTGCCTCGAGGTCTTACGGGATAACACGTTGGTCACGTTAGCCAACATTTCTGGGCAGCTAGACTTGTCTGCTTACACGGAAAGCATCTGCTTGCCAATTTTGGATGGCTTGCTGCACTGGATGGTGTGCCCATCTGCAGAGGCGCAAGACCCCTTTCCAACGGTGGGACCCAACTCTGTCCTGTCGCCTCAGAGACTTGTGCTGGAGACCCTCTGTAAACTCAGCATCCAGGACAATAATGTGGACCTGATCTTGGCCACGCCTCCATTTAGTCGTCAGGAGAAATTCTATGCTACGTTAGTTAGGTACGTTGGGGATCGCAAAAACCCAGTCTGTCGAGAAATGTCCATGGCGCTTTTATCGAACCTTGCCCAAGGGGACGCGCTGGCAGCAAGGGCAATAGCTGTGCAGAAGGGAAGTATTGGAAACTTGATAAGCTTCCTAGAGGATGGGGTCACGATGGCGCAGTATCAGCAGAGCCAGCATAACCTCATGCACATGCAGCCCCCGCCTCTAGAACCACCTAGCGTGGACATGATGTGTAGGGCGGCCAAGGCTCTGCTGGCCATGGCCAGAGTGGACGAGAACCGCTCGGAATTCCTTCTGCACGAGGGCCGATTGCTGGATATCTCGATATCAGCCGTCCTGAACTCTCTGGTCGCGTCTGTCATCTGTGATGTACTGTTTCAGATTGGGCAGTTATGACATCAGTGAGAAGGCAGCACTGTGTGAGTGAAGACTAGAGGCTCCCGTATAACTGGCTGTTTCTGTTGTTTATCCAGCGTAGGAAGAAGGAAAAGAAAATCTTTGCTCCTCTGCCCCATTCACTATTTACCAATTGGGAATTAAAGAAATAATTAATTCGAACAGTTATGAAATTAATATTTGCTGTCTGTGTGTATAAGTACATCCTTTTGGGTTTTTTTTTTTTATTTTGTGTTTTTTTTTTAACCAAAGTTGCTGTCTAGTGCATTCAAAGGTCACTTTTTGTTTTTCACAGATTTTCTTTTTAATGTTCTTTTCCATGTTGTATTGCATTTTTTGGGAAGCGAATTGACTTTAAAGAAAAAAGTTGTGGCAAAAGATGCTAAGATGGGAAAATTTCACCACACTGAGGCAAAAAGGTGAAAAATTATCAATTTCCTAGGTGTGTTATTCTTCAGATTATGAAAAAATAAAAACTGTATCCCATCGCCCAAAGCTCTGTGCAATAGAAACTTCTAGAAAAGTAGGTTTAGGGGCTCAAGGAGGTGTGTCAGTCAGTAGTCAAACTATGAAATTATACTGGTTTCTCCACAGGAAAATGGTTACATTAGGCTAGGAGCAAAAACAATGTTTTTTTAAGTTAAGATTGAAAATACATACCTGACAACGATCAACGGAAATCGCTTCCTCACCACTACCGTCGTCCTGTCTGCTGTCTGTCGTTTGACTTTCCACATGACAGTTCTTCACAATTCCTTTAATCATTTTTTAAATATTTTTTTTACTGCCTATGGGCTGTGATGTATATAGAAGTTGTACATTAAACATACCCTCATTTTTTCTTTTCTTTTTTCTTTCTTTTTTTTTTTTTTTTAGTACAAAGTTTTTAGTTTCTTTTTCATGATGTGGTAACTACGAAGTGATGGTAGATTTAAATAATTTTTTATTTTTATTTTATATATTTTTTCATTAGGGCCATATCTCAGAAAAAAAGAAAAAATACAAAAAACAAAAACAAACAAAAAAAACAAAAAAAAAGAGGGTAATGTACAAGTTTCTGTATGTATAAAGTCATGCTCTATTTCGGGAGAGCAGCTGATCACAATTTGCTTCATGAATCAAGGTGTGGAAATGGTTGCATATGGATTGATTTAGAAAATGGTTACCAGTACAGACAAAAAAGAAAAAAATACAACTAAAAGGAAGAAACACAACTTCAAAGATTTTTCAGTGACGAGAATCCACATTTGTATTTCAAGATAATGTAGTTTAAAAAAAAAAGAAAAAAACTTGATGTAAATTCCTCCTTTTCCTCTGGCTTAATGAATATCATTTATTCAGTATAAAATCTTTATATGTTCCACATGTTAAGAATAAATGTACATTAAATCTTGTTAAGCACTGTGATGGGTGTTCTTGCATACTGTTCTAGTTTCATTAAAGTGGTTTGCTAGTAACCAAGTTATTTACAAGAAATAGAAGAATACAGCTGTGTCCCAACATAGTCCCTCCTTACGGAAACCCTGAGGTCGGGAGGGACCTTCAGGGGTTACCTACTTGAGAGTGGGGAGCAAAAGTTTGATTTTCTCAAATCATTTAGCTAATTAGCCTTCGTTTGAAGCAATCAACTCTAACGACATTGAGGTATGAGAATTTTCAGTATATACGGGAGGTGGCTGCCCGCCCACGTGGTGAGACCTCAAAGCTCACTGGCCTGACAATGTAACACTCTGCCTTTTACTAACCCCATCTTAATTTTAATCAGAGTTCAAGCTATTCCCACGTCTCTTCTGTGTGCCTCCAAGTTATTTTGCATTTAGTTTACTCCGCCGTGTATAATATTTATATTGTGCAATGTTAAAAAGAATATGTTATATTGTATGGTGTACATAGTGCAAAGTGATTATTTCTATTTCAGGGCATATGAATATTCTCATATTCCTTCCTGGTGCGCAGTAGCGTTTCGATACTGGTCACTTCTAATTTCAACTTTCTCTTCCTGGGTCATCGACTGTTATTGTGTAACAATCAATTTCTTTGAAACTGCTGCAGAATTAAACTGTTAGTGGACACCCTTCTGACTCTACCTCTGCACAGGACCCTGCCAATCACAGCATACACACAAATTGCGAGTCCTCTCGCCAGACCTGTTCCCCGGGTGCACCGTGCACCCGCTAATACATGGAAGAGGGAGACAAGAGCGTGCACTTACGATCAGAGTGTGAAACATTTCTCTCTAGTGTTACAAGAAAAAAAATGGTTTTCTGCAAGTAGTCTCATCATTTATCAGCTCCCACATTACTTAGTCTCCTTACATAACAATGCAGCCAAATATATGTTGAATTAAAAACCCATTTATAATCCCTCTTTAAATACATCTGCTTGCCAAGAACAGATTTGAGTGCTCCACGCTTCAAATATGGAGATTTGTAAGAGGGAATTCAATATTATTCTAATTTCTCCCTTACAGAGTGTGAATAAAAGATGTACACAAACTTTGAAATTATCTAATATCCCAATTCTTTTGTCGATCAAAAGAGTAAAATTATTACAAAAGACTGTTATTGTCCTGGTTTGAGTTGTAACCGATACCTAGAGTCTGACCATTGAGCAACAAGTTTTTACACACTGATACGCAATGTTATCTCTAGAACAATGCAGGAGACTCTAGCATCCTTTGTGTATTCTCACCCCAGAATCAAGACCACAGAAGACCATGAAGAACGTACAGCCTGCCTGAGGTCATCTTGCCTACAAACTGAGTTATTGCTTTGTCCTAAAATAGTTGTGTTTTTTTCCTATGAGGCTTTTCAGAAATTTACAGGATGCCCATACTTTAAATGTGTACAAAAAAAGATAAAAATAAAGGTGCAAAGAAAGTTTAGTATTTTGGAATGGTGCTATAAAGTTGAATCTGTTGGTATTTGAGTGAGTTTTTTTAATGTCACATAAGAGAGATTATTGGGTGGCATCTCTTCAGAAATAACTATTCAAATGTTTGAGGTTGAGAATGATATAGAATCAGTTTTTCCTGGTGAGTGTGGCCTATTCAATAACTAGTTAAGCTGTTTTTTAAAAGTTATAATAGAGAATGACTTTTTTAAATGGGTATGGGCGCTTTGATGATACAATGTAAGCTATTAACTACCTCTTTTATGAAAAGAAGATGGCCTTTGTCCTGAAATCCGTTTAAAAACAGTTGGAAATCTTTGATTTCCTATCAAACCCCACGTACCAATTGCCATATCTGTCCACCTGCAAGGAAGCAGAGAAAGTATTATAAATGAGGCAAAAATGACAATGCAGACAGCCCATTTTCTTCCTGCTGGGTTTTGTGTTACTTATGTATCTGGAGAGCCAAAGCCCAGCTGCCTGATAATTCCTGTCCTCCACCCCCCTGGCAGCATCCTCGGAGAACCTCCTGGTCAGACAAGCTTTTAAAGATGCCAATAAATATTTTGGGTGACACTATATAAACTGCTAAGATGTCACATTATTCGTTAATTCAGCGGGGAGGTATTGAGCACACACCGTGTGCCAGGCTCTGTTCTAGGCGCTGAGGAGACATTCATAAACAACACCCTGTTTCAGGTACGTTCTCGTCTTTCCCGTCAGACGATTATAGAAAATAACTAGTCTTCCAAATGCAGTGTTGATGCGTTGAGAACGCTGCATTTTGTGACTAGGACATCAAGTAAGGCTCTAGCTTTGCGAATCGGGGTGTGGTGGGAAGAGCTCTGGACCAAACATCAAGAAAACGTAGTCAGGTCTCGGTTGGGCCTGACCACGAGCTTCTCTGTGTGTCCTACAAACGTACCGGGGCGAATGGTCTCGGAGGTCCCTCCCAGCTCTGCAGTGGGATTCTAACTCACCTGCTTCCTGTCCTGCTCATGTTCACCTGAGGGTGCTTGTGGTTCTGAAGTGGAGGGAAGAAGGCAAAGATAGTAGCCTGGTCCCAGTGACTGCAGGTTACATGATAAACCCTTGGAAACTCGGGAGTTGGTGACACTGTACAAGCAGACTTTATTCAAGGCCTTTTTTGTTCCTAAGTCACACACACCCTCACACGTGCCCACGCCTGTCTCCAGTCACTGCGTTTCATGCTCTGTCCCCGGATTGCCAGTCCTGTGCTTGTTTTATGATGATCCAAGTCATGCAGTCCCCTCATGGCAAAGTGAATTTACCAAATCATTTCACTTTGGGATTTAAATATGTGAAGCCCTGAGGGGAGGTTGGGGAAGACCATCAAATGTGTCCCAAAAGGATGAGACTCATTTTTCTTCTTCCTGAATCTGCTTTCAGGAACTTGAAGTTTTACTCAGTTTTTTCCAAAGTATATTCCAAGAAACAGAAGAGATCTTAAAAAAAAAAAAAAAGCCTTACATATTCTCTTGGCCATCGATAATCCATATTATCTTATTAAAGACTCAGAAATCCTGCAGAAAAGAAGCCTGTTTATCTCAAGCATTTCCTCAATAAACCTTGGAACCTTTTTTTAAATAATTTCTATAAACAGCCTGCAAAGCTTTGAGAAATACCTGCATTAGGCAAAGATCATGCCTGACTTCTAAACATCCACAATTCTTGCCTATCCGCAGTGTATTCTTATTCCTTAAACTGAAATTGAGATGTCCTCATTGAAAAAGGCATCATGGAATCCTCTCTTGCAATCTCCGTGACCTTGAGCAAGGTACTTCAGTTTTTTGAACCTCAGTTTCCTCAACTGTAATATGAGGGTAAAAACCTACCTCAGGATTGGGAGGGATTAAATTAGATAATGTATATACAGGCCTTGTAACCTAAGTGATCACTGTATATTAATCCTAAACATACATTTACATACACACTTTTCCTTTGGTGAGTGCCCTAAAGCATATTTCACATAAGTTAAAAATCTGGTCTAAGAGAATATCTTACTATTTTCATAACCAATCACACAGTTTGTGTGACTTTGTTGTTGTTTTTGGTTTCCTAGTAAGATCCATAAAGGCCTAGTCTACTGATTGCCTGTGTTGAGTGCCAAAGGTGATTCTGCATAGTTTCTCTGTTGGAGGTCAGTTTGGGATGTTGGACATCAGAGGTGGTGGAAGACCTCACCTTTAATTTCGCAGGCCTGGGGGAAGCACATCTCTGGAATATAGTCATGCAATAAGCTTGCCCTGTCCTGCCCTTCTGAAAACAAGCGGGTAACATCTTCCAGGGGTCAAGTATGGCAGGTAGCCAATCACAGTGTTTTTTTAATTTGTTGTTGCTTGTCATCTGATGCACACAGCAGAGAGCTTCCCTGGAGAAAAGGGACTACAGTCTTCACCCTTAGCTGGAGATGGGCCGTGTTTCTGCGGGCTATAGAAGTGGAATTCAGGATGCTCTTTATTTCCATGTAAGCATAAGATCAGGTAGATAAAAGAAGCTTGAACTTTCGTCTTCTGCATACACTGCTGTTTAGCTGGCCCAGGATGTTGTATCCTACAAACTAGATTTTCCTGAGGTCTTAAGGAGCCTAAACTTGGGTGCAGCTCCTTGAAGACATCCTTGTCCAAACCAAAGCAGTTCCCTGAGGCGAGAACCAGCAGCATTTATAACACTGCTTTCTGGTAAGTGGGGATTACTTCACATTTGGATGTTTTTTGCACTTGAAAGAATTTCATAGCTATTAGTTGTTCGTGGAAGCCTTGGTATAGAACATTACAGCATCCATTCTCCAGAAAGGGAAGCACAGGCTGACACGCAAAGTGGTTGGAACCAAACTGAGAACTCCCCTTTCCAAGAATGTATTTGCCTAAGAAATGTTTCCAGCTTTACGAAAATCCAGAGGAGACAGGAACTCTTAAAACAGAAGCCATAAGGGGCCGGCCCAGTGGCATAGCGGTTAAGTTGGCAAGCTCTGCTTTGGCGGCCCAGGGTTCACCAGTTCGGATCCTGGGCGCAGACCTACTCACCACTCATCAATCCATGCTGAGGTGGCATCCCACATAGAAGAGCTAGAAGGACCTACAACTAGGATATACAACTATGTACTGGGGCTTTGGGGAGAAAAAAGAGGAAGATTGGCAACAGATGTTAGCTCAGGGCCAATCTTCAAAAAAAAAAAAAAAACAGAAGCCATAATGTACATTGGCCCCAGATTAGAAGGAGGAGGGAGTCTTTTGTAAAATGTCATCCTTGAGAGGTAATGTCATATGCTCACTATATCTGTGCCTCTGTTAACCCAAACTTAAACCAAAATCAGGAAAGTGGGCAATGCTCTGTCCTTGTATGACAAGTTCCTCCAAGAGTCTCTC